CTTTCTGGAAGCAAGGAAAGGCAGGCTGCCTGTAGCAAGCTGTGTGCAGCACAGCAGCAGCTCCTGCTCTGAGCTGCTTGTCCTCCCACACTGCCCTGCCCCAGGGTAGGCTGCAGCAGGCAGGCAGCCGGCATTGCCCAGCCCCACCATCCTCCCCAAAGCACGAGGAGATTCGGAGGGCACCCAGAGCCCGAGGAAAGCAAGCACTGCCGCAGACCAAGGCCTGAAGAAGGAGGCGAACCCAGCCAGTCTGCAGCCGTTGCCTAGCAACGCTAGAGGGGCCACGCAGTTCTTAAATAGCAGGTGTCCCGCACCCCGTCCAATGCCCGCTTTTCATTGGGCAGATCTCTTAAGATTGACATGATCTCTATCCAATCGTCACCCTCCACGAGCCTCTCCCGTCCTGTAGGCGTGGCACTACCCGGAAAACGCCACCGGAAGCGGTGCACAGGAAGTGGGCGGAACTCGTTGGAGAAGGAAAGGCCGTGTGCACCAATGAGAAGCGAGAAGCCGCGGGGCTCATCCAATAGCAGAGCGCGGAGGGCGTGGATGCGAGGAGGCGGGGTAACCTGGATAGAGCCGGCAACAGGAGGCTGAGGGAGGCGGCCAAGGTGGGCACGGGAGGGGAAGTAGGGCCTGAGGCTGCGGGGAAACGGGGCCGGGAGAGGCTAAGGCTTCGTGGGGGTGAAGCCTGAGGAGAGGCTGAGGACTGGTACTAATGGGAGATGGGCCTGAGGGGAGGCCAAAGGTCTGGGGGAGATGAGGAGGAGGGAGGGTGCCTGCGCTGTGGGTTCTGGCTTCAGCTGTTCCTGTTTGCAGGCAGAGGCGGTACGAAAGGAGATGTCCCTCGCGTCCGCGCTGGAAGCAGGATGAATCTCATATCTATGGCGGCAGAGCCCGAGCTGAAATGGGTAGCCCTGTGGGTCCGAGTCAGGTGGGCAGCCGTGCTCGTGCTGCTGCTGGGCTCCCTCCTGCTGCTGCTGCTGCCGCTGCCTGCCGTGGAGGAGAAGTGCCATGCGGTGCTCAGGGGGCTCTCCTTTCTGAGGAGTAAGCTGGGCACCGGCTATACGGGCGTCACCAGGTATACGGGGCAAAGTACCGGGCTGAGTGTCACCTCGAAGGGGCTGGAGCTGCTGGTGCTGAAGGGCAAGGCCTCCCCAGGTGAGTGTGACTGTTGGACTGTGTGATCTGAGAGATCCTGAGTTGATGCTGTGATTCCAACCCCCCTGTGTCTGGGGCATCTGCATCCCCTGCCTGAGCATCTCCTTGTATCTCCAATGGTAGTGAACTCTCACTACCCCACTCTGAGCTGGAAATTACCAAGAGGTCACTCTTGCCATCGCCAGGCAGCAGCCAGGCTGCATTCCATGGTTGGGTACTGTGCAGGTGTTTCTGTAGTGCTGTGTCATCTCAGCTTATCCAGGTGCTTTGTGCAGTGGTGAGATGTGATGAGGTAATTGGAACACCAGCAATAACAGGCTATGGTCACTGGCTTTAGTGGACAGGACATTCAATTGGAAAATATTCAGAGGAATCATTATGGTTCCTGCACGGTATCATTGACATTACAGCTATTATTGCTGGGAAGATGAAAAACCTGTGCTATTAGCAGCTGTGGAGGCTGCTCTCAGCAAGGGAACTGGCATTACAGCCAACAGAATGTACTCACAACTCTGCGTCCTCCCATACACAGCAGCCTGGTAGCCAAAGCAAGCTTTGCTACCATCAGAATCCTGCGCCTGTGCCTTGCTATTTGCAGGCCCTGCCTGGCCCTGGTTCCTATCAGGAGCAGCTCTGCTGCTGAATGCTCTGCCTGCGAGCAGGCCTAAAGCCCTTGGGCTTGTGGCAGGAGTACAAGTTCTCTGCTGCAGGTCTTATGGAAAAGTTTTATTTAATTTCATATCAGAGAAGGTGATAAGTCTCCAGAAGCTGTCGGTAGAACCCTGTGATCAAACTGCTCTTACTGTTGCATTTCAGAAGTGAAGTTAGAAGCCAAAGCAGCTCTGAACCAAGCCCTTGAAATGAAGCGCCAAGGAAAGCGAGAAAAAGCGCACAAACTCTTTGTATACGCCCTCAAAATGGACCCTGATTACGTGGATGCCCTGAATGAATTTGGCATTTTTTCTGAAGAGGAAAAAGACATTCTTCAAGCAGACTATTTGTACTCCAAAGCACTAACCCTCTCTCCCTGCAACGAAAAGGCTTTGATCAATCGGGACCGGACGTTGCCTTTAGTTGAAGAAATTGATCAGAGGTATTTTAGCATTATTGACAGCAAGGTTAAAAAAGTGATGGCGATCCCCAAAGGCAATTCTGCCCTGCGCCGAGTGATGGAGGAGTCCTACTATCACCACATCTACCACACGGTTGCTATTGAAGGGAACACTCTGACGCTGTCAGAAATACGACACATCATCGAGACCAGATACGCTGTTCCTGGAAAAAGTTTAGTGGAGCAGAATGAGGTGATTGGCATGCACGCAGCTTTGAAATATGTCAATACCACTCTGGTCTCACGAATAGGCTCCGTTACCATCACTGACATCCTGGAGATACACCGGAGAGTGCTGGGCTACGCTGACCCCGTGGAGGCGGGGCGCTTCAGGACTACGCAGGTGTTTGTGGGGCATCACATACCCCCACACCCCCAGGACGTTGGCAAACAGATGCAGGAGTTTGTGCAGTGGATGAACTCTGAAGATGCCATGAGTTTGCACCCCGTGGAATTTGCTGCGTTGGCCCACTACAAATTGGTTTACGTCCATCCTTTTACAGATGGCAACGGGAGGACGTCACGTTTGCTAATGAACCTCATCCTGATGCAGGCAGGCTACCCACCCATCACCATCCGCAAGGAGCAACGGGCAGAGTATTATCATGTCTTAGAAGTGGCCAACGAGGGCGATGTGAGGCCTTTCATACGCTTTATAGCTAAGTGCACTGAGACAACACTGGACATGTTGCTCATTGCCACCACGGAGTACTCTGTGGGCTTACCTGAAGCTGATGGCAGCAGTGGTGGATGCAAACAAACCATCCCTGTCAAGACCTGAAAGTTGTGGGCGTTGAGAAGGCAGGGAATACATGGGTGAACAGGAAGCCATGCTGCTCAGAATTTCTGCTGGGAAGAGACTTGACAGGAGGTGTCACTCTTTAGCATTTCATTTATTTAAAGCCTGTTACATTTGGTTAAGTTAATATAATTTATTTGCATATATTATGCCAAGCTAAATTGTTGATGTTGACTGTGTGCTGTAACTCGCCTGTGCTACAGTAAGAGGCGGGGAAAAACATCAGAGGGGCTGAACAAACTGAAGTAGAAATCATTTCATTTTTCCATAAAATTAAGCATTCAGAAGCTGCTTCCATCACAGCCCTACCCTAAGTCAGCAGCCTTGTCCTACCTCGTCATGGAGCTGCTAGGTGGGACAAAGCCTTAAAAGAGTTGTTGCTCTCATACTACCCCCTTCGTTCTTGTTCAGAACCCAAAGCCTTTGCAGTAACAGCATGCTCCCAGCTGCATTAGGCTGGCTTTCTCCTTCACTATGACACATTCAGCCAGAAAAGATGAGGAAGAAGGCTAGCTGCAGGGTGGCAGTCGCATTTCTCCCCTTCTGTTTCTGCTTTCAGTAGCATTCTGCATATTTACTTTCATTTGCCTTTCCTAGGGTAATGTATGTGAAACAAATGGGAAGTGTTTGGTTTCTGATTACAGCCCATGTGACTGGAACAAGACAAGAAATACTCTCTGACTTGTTTCACGGAACAGCAAGGTGCTCTTGGTATGTCTTCACCAGGACAATTTTGTGCTGAGACCCTGCTTCACCTTGCCTCCCCACAAGGCAGGTCCTCTGGGAAACTGCAGCTGTCTGCAGGTTTCTGTTCAGGATCTGAAAAGAGCTCGTTTCTGTAAGCTGCAGGCAGAAAAGGTCATTCCACATAGCCACAAGACTGCCTTTATCTGCTGGGCTGTTTTGGTAAGAAATCATATAGTGAGCTTGCCAAAAACTTAAGTTTCCTTCATCTACACAAGAGAGTTTTTCATGATAGGTTTATTAACTACCAAATCCTGTTATTCCTCTGATAAATGCATAAAGAACCACCTAAGGCCTCTCCCTACTGCAGTCTCAGTTTGCACAGCACCTGGAAGCTGCCGCCCAAGTCAAAGTGCTTTTAAGTTAAAAGCAGTTGCAGTTACACATTGAAACGAGTTGCTCCCTACACCCCACCTGCCAGCTGTGTAAGTGCATAATTCCAGGTATCATCGATCCCAACACCTTCAAGCTCAGAAGATGTGGAAGGAATGAATTCCTGTACTGTCCCAGGCCTATTTCTCTCCCCTCTAGCTCTCTTACCTGCAAGGTAATTAGGATACGTTTCATACAGCAAACAGACAACAAACCAAGACCAGGAATTACCTGTACACTGTAGCACCAGCCTCTCCTCACGTATTATTGCTGACAGGGAATGTGAACAAGTGTTCTATTTTTACAAAGCATGCTTATTTTTGTAGTGCAATGTGAGTATAAAAGTATTCTGCACTTTAGAGCTCTGGAAAAAAAAAAGACGTTCATTTTAATAACAGATTAATAAAGTATTTTAATATTAAGTCTGCAGTAAAATCAGAACTGCTCACAGCTCAGTTCCTGGAGTAGCAAGTTTCACAGCAAGTCCAACGTTAGCAACCCAAGGAAACTCCATTAATCGCTCCTGCTTTGTGCCTGCCTGACATCAGAGTGAGGTAAGCATCTGGAAATACCAGCCCCCACATTAAAGCTCCATATTAGATTGTTATTATATGCCACAAAGCAGATTGAGATCTCATGTTGCTGCTTCATACTGAGTGGTCAGCCCAAGCTCGTAGCACAGAAGCAAATGCACACTGTACTACAAACAAGCTCCACAGGAGGATTCAGGCCCTTGCTCTGTTACCCACACAACTGTTTTACACAGCAAAAACCTACAAAGCAAACCAAGTAAAGCCAAGTCAAACAAGCACAGAAAGTAAGCACTGAAAATAGTGTTTATTTGCAGCAGTGCTTATGTTGTACAAGTGAACTCGGTGCTGCTCTCCCCCTCACATTCAAACCCCCCACGTGCTGACTTCCAGTTAGCAGCATTTTTAGATAAGCAGTAATATTTCTATCCATGACCATGTACCAGGTTATTTTCAAGTCTGAGGTGATTACTGAAGTGGTTTCAAGATACTCATACTAAATGGAATGAACTACTTAAAGGTATGCAAGTGACACTGTATCTCAGCGCACCTGAGAGGTGAGGTACATCAGTATTAACTAGCTGCCATAGGATAAGTGCAATTCCAACACCCACATTTCAACAAAAGCAACAGTATTTATAGAAAACCTTTGAGAACTTGAGTTTAATAAACTGTGAAACTTCAGCGTGCACTTCACATTTGTACAAAACCATACAGAAACCACCTGCAAAAGATAGATGAACTAGCTAGCAAAAAAAAACTAACAAAAAAAATGGTCCTCAGCAAGAGCATGTACAGCTTTCATGGGGAAAAAATACCAGGTCTAAGTATTATCTCATGACACTTAAAAATAATCTGAATGTCTTTTACAAATACACAATATAAAAAACGGGTCAACTTGAACAGAACATTAACTGAATACACATATATGTATATTGTGTATATACATATACACAGAAATGTATAGAAACTCTCCCAATACTAAAATAGGCCATTGTGGTGAAGTTACTAGCATTTGCCATCTAACTCTTAATGGAAGGAGATCAAGGTGTGAACATGTTTCGGTGTAAAACGGGTCTGTCGTCAGAGAGAATGACTGCAATCACAATCTGAGCTTCTGACCAGTGGATCTCAACCAGGTTGTGGCCAGGCCTTCACATGGCATCTCATTCTTTAATGAAAGAGAAATATCTGTAAAGTATTCAGAAAACGGTGTGGCATCCAACCTGTACAGGAAATGTTTCCCCCTCATTACCCTCAATATGAGGAATCACATAACGCCATTTTACCAGAACGTAGTATAACTCTTTGCTCTTAAAAAACAGAGGAAAGTGGATTTGTTCCATCCTACTCTGATCTTAATGAATGCAGTAGTCCAGAACAGTATTTACATGTGATTGTGACTGGCGTTCTCTCCTTGCTAGCATAAGGACACAACATGGCTTCCATAAAGGCATTTCACATTTTACCAGCTCAGCTGATTGCTGACCATTTGCTCACTTGTTCAGCAGCATCTTGGCAAAATCAGCGTTGGACATCTTTTTAGGCTCCTCAGTGCTTTCAGACGAAGTTGCTGGTGAATTCTGGACCATCCCATTCTCAGCCTTAGCCACAGGATTACTCTGGCGTTGCAATGCTCGAGGCATCATGGAAAGCTGTGTCCTTCCCTTCCCTCGCCTGGAAAGCAAAAAATTGCACTTAAAAACATCCTCATGCTCTGTGAACGTACTGTTTTAGCCTAGAGAAACAGAAAGGGCTTTGTTTGATCCAGAGAACACTCCTGAAGTATTATTCTTGCTGTTTGTTTCAGTAGTAAGCAGTGCAAAGCTTACAGTGGATGCCCTTTGAAACAGCATTCCTAAACACTGACAGAAAAATGCCCAGCAGTTTCCAGAAGCTGAAGCTCCATGGTTTATCTACAGGGTAAAAGTAATTGCAAGCAGCAAGAGCACTCGGGAGGAAGAAAGAGCAGCCTCAGAACTCATTGTGAACAGACTTTGGAACTCTTTGAAAGAAGAGGCTGTGGAAGTTAAAAGGGCTCAGGTACGAACATCAGACCACAGGACGTCCAACTCTTGGTCACTACAGACCTATTTCTATTGCTAATGTAAAGAAAAGTCTACTTCTCCATCAATCAATCATCATTATTATTTAGTACCTTGTTCCCTCACATTCCAGAGGGAACTCCTACATTTTTGCCTACAAAGCAACCCAATGTTTGCTTTCAAGCACCCCCAAGCTGTCTCCCTTGCCAGCACTTACGCTCCATAAATCTGCCGTGGCACTGCAAACTGGGAGGCTCTGCCTGCCTCAGCCTTGTCTGGCAGCTTTCGGAGAGGTGGGTTACTGATTGCCACCTTGATGACGTGTTCCTTAATTGTCAGGCCATCCATTTTCAGCACGGCTTGCGAGGCCTGGGCTTCGTTTTCAAATTCCACGTAGGCCAGGCCCTAAATAAGGAAAAAGGTAACCCATGTTAGTTTTAGTGCTTCTTCCTCTGTGTGACTGCTGGAAAACACCATACAGAAAGTGGAACTAAACACGGCCACAAATCCCAGTATTCTTTAAGATTAACTAATGAGAAGTTCTTACCTATGCAAATCTATAACCTGCATTCTTTCTTCACACATAATTTGTGGAAAAGGTATTTAAAAACAAGATCCCAATAAAACGTAACAAAGTACTGCCTCAGCAACAAGGCTTTACTTCTAAATATACACCATACATATATCCAGGATAGATCTGATATCAGATAGATTTCCATTCACAGGGGGTGAAAACACCACACGAATCCATGCAGCTAGAACAGAAAGATCCACAAGAACTCTTCTGTGATTTTCCATTACACTACAGTTTGCATCTATGGAAGGAAGCCCTCTAACATAGGCCCACCTTAGTTCCATGGGGAGTACAACCCACCCCAAGCAGCAATACCAACACAAAGGCACTGCTTGTAAGTGACTGCAATCGCTGCCTCCAGAACAGAGATGATGACAAAAGCTTTCTTTGCAGGAAATGAATCTGTGTCGCTTGCACAAGGTAACAGCTGCTAACCACCTGCTGCTGGTACAGCTTGAGTAATGGTGTCTTGTTTCCAGCAGAGCAAAGGAAAAGGCCTCCCTTGGCATCTGCTGTGCTAGGCTGCTACCAGGGAGTGCACTATAGCTGGGAGGCATCACCTCCCAGTTCTCTTATTGCTATTCTGAAGTTCCACTCAAACCCTTATGCTGTGTTTTTGGATTAGCCAGCTTCACAGGGCTAGAAATACACCAGGATTCATACAGCATTCAAATTCTAGAGTATTTGTTTGTGGTTTAAATAAAATCACAGCTCTCACAGCAGAGAACATGGACTACACAGGGCTTGGGACACCAAAAGAGAACTCTTTAGAAGATATGCACCAACAGGAACTGTCCTTCAAATACTAAGTTAAAAAGAAGTTAAAAATCTAATCTAAAATGCATACACATCACCACCAGGATGGCACCTGTTGGAAACACCCAACATCCAGACAGGGCAGAGCTTTCAGGTGGAATTTTGGCAGAACAGCCACTGGTTTAGTTCTTAGTTAACAAACACCCATTTATTCCAGCATGGAAATAACACCTGTCAGAAAGGTGTCTCATTTCTCACTGGCAAATCCATCATTGCAGCAGGTGCTCTGAACAATAGCATCAAGAAACTGAAGATAGAGGAGGAAGGGAATCAGTTACAACAAGTGAACTCTATCCAGTCAGTGACTTCAGAAACAAAGGTTCTTTGCAGGTTCACTAATGCCTCTTTTTTATTAAACTGAAAATGCTGTAGATAATCTTCCCCCCTCCCCATTTACATCACACACTTTTCTTAAGCAACCGAATAAGCATTTCAGAAAAAAAATCTCATTGTCCTCTTTTTCTTATCTGTTGGCATAAAACCACATGTTGTATAAAGGTTGACCACAATAATTATTCAAGGCATTTGCATTAAGCTGTAAGACCTACTTTTTGTACCCAGATCTTGTGAAAAGTTTCTTTTTGAAGGATTTCATTGAAATTAAGAGTGCATTAATGATGCCTACCTTGGGTTTTCCAGCTCGGTTGGTGACCAGCCTAATGTCTTTCACATTCCCATGGGCTTTACATATATCTTCCAGCTCCTCCTTAGTGCAGGAAAATGGCAGACCAGATATAAACAGCTTGTGTTTCTCCAGTGTAGTACTATACCTGAACACCTGAAGAAATTAAAAGGCTGTTAGTGCTCAAATCAGTTAGAAACAAAGGGAATTTCAACCTATTATAAAATGCTCAGGCATTTGAGGTTATATTTCTGTGATTAAAAATAACAACAACCCACTAAAGCCACAAGCAGCACCTTGACAGATTGACAGTGGTGCTCACTTAGGAAGCTGGTACATGGTACATCACACCATTAAGGTGCTCCAGATTATTCAAAGATCCACAGGAATCTGTTAACATCAATCCTAGTTTATGGCAACATCACACAGTATATAGAAGAACTAGAAAATGCTGAGACATTACCATTCCCAATTAATACACGACGAATTCCCTAGATGCAGGCAGTCTGAAAGCAGAACGTTCTGCTAGCTTTCCAATGCACTCCCACTATTCAATTTATTCCTTATTCCAACATATTCAACATACTATCGAAAGAATGAAAGTTTACCTTAAAGTCTGGATTCTTGTTCTTGTCAACACAAGGAGAAACAAACATGGGTCTTCCCTCCACGACTTTACGATCCAGCCCAAGAGCCTGCAGAGCAGACTTCTCGTCCTTGAACTCCACATAGCAGTAGCCCCGGAAAGTCCCCTTGTTGCTGAAAACTGGACGGATTTGAGCAACCTCCCCACAGCTCTCAAAGAGCTCTTTCAGTTTTACTTCAGGATCTGTCATGTTGTAGGAAAGGTTGCTGACGAAGACGGTGATGTTGTCTTTGCTGCTGTCATGCAGAACTTTTGGGACGTCTTTTCGGCTGGTGGATGGCTTTTCCTTCTGGTTTGTGGAGTGATCTGGTTTCTCAGGTCCACTTCTTCCAAACAGCCCAGTTTCCAGCTCCATGTCTTCTTCAAGAAGCAAACCATCACCATCTCCCTTATGTCTCTTGCTGGGTTGCTCTGCAGATGAATGGAATTGAAAGACTTAACAGAGAAGTTAACACCATTTCACTTCCCACTCAAATTAGTTTGTCCTCCATCACCAACGTGGAATCTGCAAATAGCAAACATGAATGAAATCAAGAACACAATGACAGATCCCCCAGACAAAACAGAAACTTCCCTCTGGTTCTTATTAATAGTTGATTACTTGCCCAAGACAGCAAGGACTTAAATGGAAGCACCAATGATACTTTCTCTATTTTTCCATCAGCTACAACTACTGACTCATGTTCTAGGAGGTTCTTTATTAAAAAAAATTAAATATCTTAAAATCTTCTTATCACCTTCCAAAAGACTGCTACACAACCGAGCAACCCAATTTAGCCTGATGACTCCGCATCATTTGATGAGTTGAATCATTAAAAAAAAATAAAAATCAACACATTATTCATCTGAAGTAATAAAGATCTTTTAAAATCCGTAATAGGTTTTTTTTTAAACATTCACTTCTGGCCAAAAAAACATTTAGCCTTGCTTTCACTTCATAACGTAATGAAGATTTCCTTGGAAAAAGAGCACCTGAAAAGACAGCACTTCTAAGGGCAGTGATGGCACCTCCCCATCTGCCTTTAACTGCAGGCAGACACCTGTGACCAAAAGATTGAAACTCTTTTTTCTTTATTTTCTTTTTTACCTTCTTCCTCTTCTTGTCCCCATTCACCCTCATCATCATCATCTGCTTTGCGCTTTTCTCCAATCCTATTTTTCTTCGCCTTTTTGGAAGCTTTCTTTTCCGCTCGAGATTGTTTTCGTTGCTCAGCTTTCTCCTCCTCCTGCCTTGCCAGAGCAGCTTCTTTCTCAGCAGCCTAAAAACATGCAAGATTTTTTTAGGTGACTGCAGACTGCAGAACATTCTCATATGCTGTTTTTGTCTTTGCTTTTTTTCTCCACTCAACTGGGAAGGTTTTCTCCGAAGCTTCATTACACAAACTAATAGGATCATCACTGAAAGCACATCTCAACTGTCTGCTCTTATAGCTTTCCTGGTGTGCTCATGTTATTCGTGTATTCATCCGAGTGCCAAAAGGTGAAATAAAAAAAACAGCATCAAAAATAAATTAATCACACTTTAAAATGAAAGTCAATATTTCTGAAGCTTTAAGACAATTTGGGCTTATCTACATGAACCAACGTTAGAAATCTGACATTCATGGCTCATCAGCAGATATTTCCAATAAACTGTTTATATAGCTCACAAAGCTCTGACCTTTGCTCTCTGTTCATTAACACGAGCTAATCTGTTTTCTGTTTTCTGAACAGCTGCATCCCAGTCTTCCAATGTTCCTAAAAGGTTTAAAAAAAAAAAAAAGCCTTGTATTCAGCCTTAAAATAAATTGCAAACACAATTCTAGAAAAATATGAATCACTGAGTTCTGTCATTATTCATGGCAATTCTAAATATAAATGAACAGCCTTCAAAGAAAACAACACCTAATCAGAGCAGAAACCCCCCATTTGTCATACAGCACTTCAGAAATGCATGGAAAAATCCAACCAATTTCAGCTGGCTCTCAATCGGTCCAGAGAAGGGAAAGAAGTTTTCTGTCTGTCTGTCCACTGACTACACTGTAAAATGAAATGATGTGCAGTTTGTTACCTTCTATCCTTTCCAGTGTGAGCAGCACCTCGCAGACATGCTCTGGATAGTCACTTGTGCACTGCACTGCTCGATGCAAGGCCTTCCTGCAGTGCTGGGTGTCACCATGAGCTCTGCAGTGTAGAAAACACAGCAGTAAGGAGCCAATCCTCTACATGGTGACTGCAAAGCAGGACTGTTAACTACATTCTATGTAAATCCTCCCTCTCCATCACCAGCTAGCTCACGCTACGCTTTGTTGCTGCAGTGTTTCTAAACTATACTCCATAGACCTTCTCTGATAACCTCAAAAGCACACCATAAACCCTTATGAAGAACAGCTTTGCTGAGCAAACCAGACTTCTCTCAAACAGACGAGCAAATTAAGAAAAGGTTATACACACACAAACACACACAGTTCCCTCCAGCCAAGCTCTCACCTTTCCAGGTTATAATATTCCAGCCACATGTTAGCATACTTGGCATTCCCTTTAGTCATAATGTTGTCCCAGAGCTCTCTGGCCTTCTGCATGTTATTACATAAGCGGGCCTGAAAAGCAGAACTCAACACGTTCAGTACAGTTCAGGACTATTTGTTAAGCACCACATCCCTCCCTGCCATCCCCATCATCTCCTCACCAAACCAACCAAAGAACAAAGAACCCCAAGAAACCCCAAAAACCCATGAACATAAAAACTCAACCCACCTAACTAAGCACACAAACCCAGCAAACAGAATTAAACACCTGAGGTCATTCTATCACTGAGTAACACCCCCTGTGCCCACCTGCTGTATCAGTCTCAGTTTCTGGATCTCACATATAACTTCATTTTGATCACTGTTTCTGAACTTTTCCTTCTGTCTTTATTCATTCTTGTTCCTAATACAGCACACTGATACCAGTACTAGTTTGAAACTAGCTTGTGTAGGCAACACTAAATTAAGGAGAATTCAAGGCAATTTCCCAGAGTGAAGTATTCAGCTCCAAAGCACCATGGCTAGTCTGCTGATCAAGGTACTTGCATGTCTGTACTGCAGCACAGCCACAGCAGCAGAGACATTCTAAAAGCCCTGGTGATTTTCTCTAACAGACTGCTGTCCTCTCCAGGACATCCTGCCTCAAACCAGATGCTACATTATGTGCAGGAATGGTAAAAGAAAGATTTACTCACTGAAGTTACAGAGACAAAATGAAAAGTACAAGAAGATTGCCTGCAATCGCTGGAATGCTTAAAGAGAAATTCCCTCTGGTCTAGCAATTAAAATAGAAAAGATAAAAGCATCACCTCAACCCTTGCCCAGTTCTGCATGATAGTACAGGATGGATCTCCACTTTCACTGAAGCCTGGGAAGAAAAACACTGTTTGTGAATGGCTTTTGGAAAAATTATTCTGAACAAAGCAAGTGAAACATTGCATGACTGAACTTACGCTCTTCTACTTCCTGTTTCAAATACTCCACAGCACGGGCAAACGCAGATCGCAGCTCTTCAAGTTCTTTACTGGAGTCTGTAGAGAAGAGAAAGAAATGCCTTACTGTTACCATTTTCATTTCTCATCCCCTAAAGCCTCTTCACCAACACCCATGTATGACTTCATTTTGGCAGGAAACAAAACAGGTCCAACTCACTACTTGAGTAAAACTCAAACAGCAACAAAATTTAACACAAGCAACAAAGCCCATCAAGTAGCTAAAACATAAATTAGGGCCTTTCTGTGACAGCACGATCTATTCTTTCAGCAAGGAACTGCTCTAAAATAGTTGATCTTATAGACAATAATTGGGGGGAGAAAGTAGTTTTTGTGAGAGATACAAAGCTTGTGTTTTTCTGTATGCTTGTTTTTAATAGCAGTTCTGTGCATCCGAAATAGTGGCAGTAAACAAATGTATATTCAAACATATTGTACATACCTTGTGTGAAATCCACCCTTCTTCTCAGGTAGTCAAGATATGCCTGCCAGATTTCTACATAGTCTGTTGCCTGAATAAAGCCTGCATTCAGAGCCTTTTCAAACATGTCTGAAAGAAATGGAGGGAAAAAACCCACACAAACATGTATTTCCTTTTCCATTGTATTTCAAAGTATAGGACAAAGAAAATACAAGAAGTCCTGCACACAGTGAATTAGTTAAGAAATTCAATGTAAAGCCAGTTTAATTCAGCAGTGCTCAAGCAAAGCTTGAAATGAAGCACTTGCTCCGAAGTGAAGCTGCTCAACCAACACAGCTGTGCCTCAGAAGCACACTACTGTAAATTTCATCAGTTCTAAGACTGCTACAGAAGGGTTGCAATGAATTCTACAGGTCACACATCATTTAGAGCACAGCAAGCAGTTCTGCACTGTAAAGAAATTCGGTTGAGATCATCTTTCCTTACCAGAAATAATGCAGTGATCAACTCCATGCCTCTCCATTGCCAAAAGATACTGAATCCAGAGCCCAACGGTCCAAGGACAGTTCCTGACAGCACGGTCATGGGCAGACAAAACCAACTCTTTCACTTTCAGCTGCCGGTCCTGAGATAATCACACACCAAAGTTTTAAGCTCCTATGAGCCAAAAAGCCCACCCAAGATAAATATCAGCTTAAAAAACTAAAACCTTAAAAATATATATTTTATATTTGAAAGTTTAAAGACAGGATTGGTATTTCAGATTCTATATACACATAAGAACTCAGTGAATGCCCTCAAAACAGAAAGGAGGAGCAGAACAAACAGTAACTCTGTGCCATGTTAAGGCTGGGGAAAACATAAACAAAAACCCACAAGGAAAATAAAACCTCAAGATTTTTTTTTCCTTCCTTACCAAATACTGATTGTAGCGTGCCCACAGGTCAGGTACAAGGCAGTTCTCAGCCAAAGCTCTCTCGTAGATCAACTGAATGCGAGCTGGATCACCAGCTTTCATTTCAAAATCAATGTAAGCTTGGTATTCTGCCAGCTTCGGTGTCTCAGCACCCAGCTATAGGACATGAAAAATAAAAACCTTCTAAACAAAGCACGATTCAAACAGCTTAAATGATTCAGTCGGTCCTGCACAACATTTCAAACCTGAACTCGGCCTCTAAATATCAACAGCTCCACCAGTTTTAGTGCTGGGAATTACACTGCAGCTTTTGATTTAATTCTTAATTTTAAAGGAATGTGTAAGCAACAACGTTACCAGTGCCTCTTCGTATGGTTTACACTTCTCCAACTGCTGGAGAGCTTTTTTGTAGCTCTTTATTGTTGTTTCTGGTATCGGATCTTCGGACCACTCCTCATACTCAGCATATGAAGCCTCCATATCTGTTAAAACAGACACAAAATCCCATCACTAATTTACTCAACAGACTAAATAATCATAATTCAACCTCTGCTTGATTCTAATGTGTTTGTGTTTCTGTTTATAGTTTTATACCTTAACTGTCAGATTACCACAATTAAAGGGTTCAGACACTTTCAGCTTATAGGTGTAATGTGAACAAAAACTTAGAACAAGCTGCTCAAAATCATTAGCTTTTACTTTACAAAACCAAAGTTGCAAGATTTTCCCAGGGCTTTACAGAAGAAACAAACCTAGATTCTTTCAATGGGCAAATAAAGAAGTTTAAGACCTACACCACCTTTCTCCTGTATGCAGACAAAGCAGCAAGAAAGGGACTTGAAGAGTTTAAAGTATGAAACTGATACAGGAGGACTATCAATCCAGCTGTCAGCATGTATCATTTACCTGTCAGCCAATGTTCTTACACAGTGAGCTTCTCAGCTGAATTCCCAGCTCCTAAGGGCCATGCTTTGTGCTAATTGTACTTTAAACAGCCTGAATGACCTCAAACCACACACCATGGAAACACATAAACGAACAAACAGGAAACGTGCATCATTCAGGGGGCCCCAAAGACAGGCAAACGCAACTGATTCATGAACACCCAAACACCCCAGCTGCAATCTGTGTGGCTCTACTAAAAGAATAATCACAATTAATGCCTACTTTGCCATAATACAGTTTCTCCATGCCAGCTCCCCAAGCACACAGGCTCTCACCTAACAGTGGGATCCCCAGCTGGCGCCTGAACAGCGTGTGGATCCTCTCAAGCTGGCTGCAGAGCATCTGCTGCTGCTCAGGGGACGGAACGCTGCCAGGAGCTGGCTGCAAACAAAAGGATTGAAACCGAATCAGCTCCCTCAAGCCTGAGCTGATGGACATGAAGGGGTATTGCTTATGGGCTGGGGATCTGGGCTCCAAATGACTACTACACGATCCTTGAAGGACACACATGGCCAACCTGCTGCCGCGAAAGGTAAAACTTGGAAACTGCTAGAGACAGAAGCTGATGAAAGTACAAAGCATCCCCCAGTGAAGGCAGACACAGTGGGAAATGATAACCTGGAGAACAACAGATCATGCCAGTTCACAAACCTACAGATAGGTTTTCACTAAATCCCTGGTGCTTGCAGAGATGAGTTAAGACTCCAGATTCTTTTTACAAGCAGAAGAGTATTCTGCCATTACTCTTCTGCTTGGACATTTCATTACTGATCAACTTCCACATCTTATGTAGCAAGCTACAAGGGAATAGAAATATTCACATTCTGGTCATCTACCAAAGTCTGGTGTTTCAAAAAGAGTGAAACAGTGAATAAATTCAACACTGAGGTGCAAGGCAGCCTAGAAACACAAACATGATTGATTATAGGCAAAAGCATTCACTGGAAAGAATAATAATGCTTAATAATGAAGATACAGCTGAAAAGAAACAAGTGACACCACAGCCTCTCTTCTCCCAGGAGGCTGATGATGGAGCAGCGTAAGACTTCAGAAGCTCCACCACAACTTCTTACTGCCAGCAGCCCACCAGACCAGCCTTACCTGTGCTGTCTCCAGGATGGCATTCTCAAACTCACGGTAAGCTTCCCACAGAGCTGTTCCTTTTGTCACGTGCAGCCCCACTGCTGTCAATGCTCTCTCAAATATGGAGCGAACTTTCTCAATTCCCCCTTCCTGACCAATGCCACCGATTGAATACTGGGCATATTCCAGCCAAATTTCAGGACCTAAACAAAGTTATGAGAAACAGGTGAGCTAACGTCCTCGAAAATAAAAAGGCATCTCAAATACTTATCAAAGACATAACCGTTTTCTTTGCTATTCAGTGTAGTAGACCTTTAAATGGTTTTCAACTCCCATGCTTCAGGAAAAAAAAAACACTCCATTTGATCCCATTTCTGCATTACAACATAATGAAAAAGCTTTCCTCAGAAAAGAAAATCATAACCTGAAGGCAGCAAATTTTATAGCACATATTAACATGTATTAAGAACTTACAGATGTAGTCTTTCACAGCTCTCTCAAACAGCTCATAAACTTTCTCTCGCTCTGAGATTTCAGAAGCCATTTTTATCTCATCCTTCAACCAATCCAGCCAAATTTCTGAAACCAAGAAGTTTACAAATCACCAATGCTTGGAAAAAAAACCACAAACAAAGCAAAAAAGCCCTCATTTTCAATGTTCTTTTTACATTTTCGGTTAGTTTTTAATAACAGTCTTAAAAATGGGAACAAAGACAATGGGAAGAAAAGAGCAATTTTAAGTCCCCACATCTACGCACAATTAATTTAAATGAAAATGTTGGTACTGATCTCTGGTGATCTCCATCATCACACTGATGATGCTTATTCAGTATCAGCTGCAAGGAGAAGCAGCTCTGTACCTTCAGTAAGTGGGAAGAGTTCACTCATCTTCTGCCGAGCTCTTCTGAGCTTCACCAGCTCTCCCTCCTGGCGAAGCAGCTTTATCAGATCCAAGTGGCAGTTGTAGTCAAAAGCATTGATGGAAAGCTTTAAAAAATAAATAAACTTTTTTGAAGGCACGCAGAAGTCAGAGAATATTTAGCAGAGCAGAACTTCACACTTTATTTTGCGGCATGCAAATCCCCTCATCAGTTCATAGCATCAATAAGGCTGGAAAAGATCAGTATGATCACCAAACCCCATCCCAGCTCACCCCCACCACACCCACTAACCATATCTCCAAGTGTCACATCTCCATGTTCTTGAACCTCTCCAGGGATGGTGATCCCACACCTCCCTGGGCAGCCTGTCTCAATGCCTGACTGCTCTTTCAGAGAAGCAATCTTTCCTAATACTCAACCAGAACCTCCCCTGGCACAACTTAAGGCCTCACCTCTTGTCCCATCACTGTTACTTGGGTGAAGAACCAATCCTCACTGTGCTACAATCTCTTTTCAGGAGGTTGTGGAGAGCCGTCAGGTCTCCTCTGAGCATCCCTAGCTCCAGACTAAGCAATCCCAGCTCTTTCAGCCTCTCCCTAGAGAACTTGTACTCCAGATCTGCTTCACAGCTCTGCTGCCATTCTTTGCACACGCTCCAGGGCCTCAATGCCTTTCTTTTAGCAAGTGACCCAGAACTGAACACAGCACTTGAAGTGCGTGGCCCTCACCAGGAGCAAGTACAGAGGGACAATCACCTCAGTGCTCAGTTACACAGAATCACAGAATTGTAGGGGTCAGAAAAGACCTCTGAGGATCCTTCAATCCAACCACTCCATAAGAAAGCACCCTGGTGGATTTTGAGCATCTTTAGGGAAAGAGACTGCACCACCTCCCTGGGCAGATCATGTCAGGGTTCTGTCAACTTCACAGTGAAGAAGTTCTTTCTCTTGCTCAGATGGAACTTCCTGGGTTCCAGTTTGCGCTCACTGCCCCTCGTCCTTTTGCTAGGCATGGCTGAGAAGAGCCCGGCCCCATCCTCCCGACTCCCACTCTGACAAGTACTTCTCCCTCAGCCTTCCCTTCTGCAGGAAGGGCAGCCCCAGGGCTCACCAGAGAGAAGCTGCAGGCCCCGACCACCGCTGCAGCCCTCCCTACAAGATCCCTTTTATAAAAACTGAGCTTTAAAGTTCCGCACAAAGCTGAACTCACAGCCCCAAGAGCCCCCGGGTGCAGACAGCGCTGAGCAACACCCACAGAGCCCTCCTCAGCAAACGCGTTGTAATTCCTTCAAAAATCAAGGAAGAAGCCACCATCGCAGTTTATTTTCAACATGTAAGAGCTGCTCACTGAGCCTCTCTCGCCCTCGAGCGAGAAATAAAATCAAATTAAAAGGGACAGCTCGCACTGCCGGCGCCCAAAGGTGACCGCATCACCTCCGGAGGCGTTTCCAAGGCTTCACGACCAAAGCGGGGCACGGCCGGGCCCCACCTGCTCCTCCAGCCGTTGGATCTCCGCCTCGTTCTCCTTCTCCTCATCCTCGCCGTCGCCCGACGAATCCGAGTCGCCCTCGTCCTCCGAATCGCCCCCCGACTCGGGGTCGCCCTCTGCCATGCGCTTCTCCTCCTCCGCCGCCGCCGCCGCCTCGGCTCCCGCCGCCGCCATCTTGTTGCAGCTCGCCTCGCCGCCGGCCGCGCTCCGCCAGCCGTCGGGGTTGGCCACAGCGCGCCTGTCCCAATACTGCACGCTCCCCACAGCCAAGAGAGGTGAGAAGAAGGAAGAGAAATTCTCTCGGCGAGGTTCCGCGCTTTTGCGCGCCCCACAGCCACAGAGAGCCGAGCAGCTCAGCGCGCTGCCCCTTGTAGTCTCGTCGGCGGCGCAGGCGGCGCCGCGGACACCTCGGGGCCTTGGCAGGCTGAGGTCCTTGGGAAGGAGGGGATGTGCGCCGCTGCCAGGTGCGGGCAGACGCAAGATGGCGGCGCTGAGGGCGGCGGGGGCGGCGCTGCTGCGGCCCGGGCGGGGGGCGGTGGCGGGGGTGGGCTACCATAAGAAGGTGAGGGGCGGCGGGGAGGGCTGTGAGGAGCCGATAGCGGCTTCTGGGGACTGTCAGTGATGCGTTCATCTCGCAGGTGGTGGATCACTACGAGAACCCGCGCAACGTGGGCTCTCTCGATCGCAACGCAAAGAACGTGGGTACGGGCCTGGTGGGCGCCCCGGCCTGCGGCGACGTCATGAAGCTGCAGGTGAGGGGAGCCTGGGGTTCCGCTGCGAGGCCCCAACTCGCAGCTGTCTCCCATCCTATGCTGTGACATAGATTTCCCCGTCATGCCCCCGCGGACACTGAAGTCCCTCCCCAGGATCTAAAATCCAGAGACCCCCAGCCCTAAAATCACTCTCCTATCCCTGGCCCTGTGTGGGTGGTTCCTGTGCTTTGTGGAGCTGAGCACCCCTCTGATGTTCTCACAGGTGGAAGTGGATGAGAACGGCCGCATCGTTGATGCTCGCTTCAAAACCTTTGGCTGTGGCTCTGCCATCGCCTCCAGCTCGCTGGCAACAGAGTGGGTGAAAGGGAAAACGGTAAGGGCTTGGCTTGAAGGCTACGGTGAGGAGCAGTTACATATTCACACCTACCTCTGGGATCAGGGAATGAAATGGGTCTAAGGAGGTGCACTCCAAGTGTTAGGTACACATAGGAGCTCAGAATGCAGTTTAATCTTTTCTGGCCTAATTTCTGAAGCAGTGTTTGCCTTTTCTGGGAACCCCCAGTAAGCTGTGAAGAAGCTTTCTGTGCTATACAACAATAAAAAAAACAGGTAGTGAGCACTGATTCTGAAAGCACTTGTATAGTGGAATGTCTTTTGATGACCTCTATGTTTTTGGCATTTTGACAAGCAGAATTCTTCTGTATTACAATGGAAGGTAAACAGACCTAGAGCAATCAGTGATAGTAGTGTGCTTTGGTTTATTAACCACCCCTGCTTGCTGTGAGACATTCCTTACATTTCACAGAATCATAGAGGTTGAAAGGGACCTCTGAGTATCATCTAGTTTAACTCCCCTGCTAAGGGAGGTTCCCTACAGTAGGTTGCAGATTTGCTGCTTGGGAGAAGCAGAATAAAAAGCAGAAAAATAAAAAGGTATTGTCAAAAGGCTTTTCTCATGGTAGAACACCATCAGCATCCTTTACTGCCTTCTCACAGTGTCAGTCTGGTTGGTTCCAGAGCCTTGAAGCACACTGGCAGCAAATGCCTGTGGAGTGTGTGTGTGCATCGTGTATGCAAAGTGACTGATGACTGTACCCTACCCATACATTTCAGGTTGATGAAGCATTGAAAATCAAGAACACGGATATTGCAAAAGAACTTTGCCTTCCTCCAGTCAAACTGCACTGCTCTAGTAAGTAAAGAATCAAACAAGTCTTTATTTGAGAGCACTGGTGCTTTTGTGTGTTTTCCAAATAAAGTTTCTGCACATATAACAGCTAAGGCTGACCCACAGTGGTGGGTACTGCTGTCTGCTTCTGCTTGTACTGCATTCTTTGCTCTAAGTGACTTGTCACTGTTCTTGAAATGTCTGTAAATGTCTGTCTTGTAAAAGACATTGTTTTATGCTTTTTTTTTTTTCCCCCCCTCTAGTGCTGGCTGAGGATGCAATCAAGGCTGCCTTGGCTGACTACAAGTTGAAGCAGGATCCAAAGAAAGGAGAGTCTGAGCAGAAAGCAAACTAATTTGTAAATGGACTGTAGAGGTTGTCTTCATTCCAGTTAAATTTGCAGTGCAATTATTCTAGCTTTTAATAGAATCCTGTGCACTACTCGAGAAGCTGTAAAATACGCACAACTCAACGCACAATGTGTCACTGCTCCTGTGTGTGTAGCCACCCTGGTAGTGCTTAAATGACTGGAATGTGGGTATTTCAGCAGCCTTTGTCCTGTTGGGACTGGTTTTGAAATGTCAGAAGTGAAGGGCTGCTCCACTGCCGGGAACCCCAGTAGTTTCTCAAGAGAGAAAGAATCCTGCCGTTCCAGCATTGGAAGGGCTGCACTTTTTTCTTCTGGAAATGTATAGTTTTGCCTGATGTTTTACAGAGTTTGGTGGGAAACATTGCCTTGGTCTTGATGTAAGATCCGCAGGTCACTTTGTAAATCATTACAGTCTGTAAGTTTTGGGTGGTTTGTCTGCAGCTGTGTTGGAGTTTGGTTTCACAATCTGTGACCTCTCACATGCTGTCTATCCCCTGCGTCACGCTGCTCTCTGGGAGGAGCTGGGATGCTTCAGCAGGCACTAGAGGGCACTGACTGTGTGACTGTGGGAGGTGAGCACATAGCAGCTGCGGTTGGGTGCCAGGAAGCACAGACCCAGCAGCGTTGGCAGGTCTTGTTTGTGCTCATATCCTCCAATAGCAGGAGACTTAACGTTGGAGCATCTTTTAAAAGCATTCAAACCCTTCAATTTGCCAAATACCGTTAACAGAGATTAAATACACGCTGAGGATTCAAACCCAGAATGCAAATAGCTTAACTGGAATGTAATACTGAAGGGAATCTCCCTGGAAGACCAGGAATCAGTCTGTACTCTCTGGGGGTGTCTTCTGAACTTCCCCCATCCCCTCCAAAGCAGAGCTAGCAGTCAGTGTTCTTGGTACTAAGCCAGGGACAGAAGGGGATCCTTACCTGCTGCAGGAGCTGATTTTGGATGCTATTTCTGACAGCCTCTGTTGCCTTTAGTAGTTTTAGGGCTGGATTCTCTTCAGCTGTGGAAGGAAGTTCAAAAACACAGCCTGGCAGATCTGCACAGCTAAAGCTGCTTAAACTGCTTTGCTGGAGAGGTGGGTTGTGGAGAGAGCAAGGGTAATGCTCACTAAGTGAAAGATTTGCACACCCACCACATGAGCCGGCTCCCTGGGAGCGTGGGGCACAGCATCATTTCAAAACAAGCATTTTATGGCCTCACAGCATGGCTTACCCTCTGTTCTTCAGGCCTCCGTGCTCCCCTGTGCCTCACGCTGATGGCTATTTTCCAAGGGAGCGTTGCCACAGATCTTCAAATCAAAAGATAATAACACTTGAAAAACCTCCCCTGCTCTTACAGATGTAAAACATCCTCACCCCACACCCCGCCCTATCTTCCTTTCCAGTTTTCATACCTATATGATGTTTCACAGCTGCATTAAAAACAATGAGTTTGAAAAATAAGTGGCTCGTTCTGGTTTCTGTCTTCAGCGCAACGATTTTTTCAGTGCCCTCATCTGCCCAGCAGGACACGTGTTCTTGCTGCTGTGGTTTGTGGTCCCTCAGCTCAGCACCACCCTGTGCCCATTCCTCCACATACTGCTGAGCTGCAGGCTGGACTCTGGCCCTTGGCGTTGCCCACCTGTAACAAGGAATGCACGTCGTTCCCTGGGAGCAACTGCATGGTTTGCCAGTCAAAAAAAATAATAATAATCAGGGAAACTTCAGCCACCCCCGTGCACTTTGGGACAGAATGGGTTGGTTGTGCTCATAAAAGCCCCTCGGGCAAAGAGCAGGAGGGAGATAAAAAGCCAGCACTCACTCTGTGCTGGGAAGGCATCTGGATGGCCGCGTTCCCACTTGCGCTGTGGTTGTTGCAGGGATCTGGTGGGGCTCTGCTGACCTCTCCTCTGCCCCACAGAGCGCTGAGGAATGAGGTGGGAATCTCAGTAGGTTGCTGTCACGTCCCTGTTTGGGGGAATCCTTTGGTTTCCCTGCAAAATGCTGTCAGCTGGAGTAACGGGGATGCGTAAGTGTGGGGTTGCAGTGGTAGAAGGATGCAGGATGTTGAGATATATAAAGGCAAACAGGAACGTGAGGTGTAAGAATAAGTGACAGCAGATACAGTTGCTTTAAACCCAAGAACGATAGTAGTTACAACCCAGCAATAAAAACAGAATTGCTTACCCCCTTCCCAAGAATCAGGGCTCATCAAACCTGATGATCTCCAAGTAGAGATGCTTCCTTTGTGGCTGCCAGCCCTTAAATGAGCTTAGGCAAGGGTGGACCCAGGGTTACACAGGTGAATTGCTTCCACCTGCACTCCCAGGGCTGGCTACACCCCTTCACCAGGTGCTCAACCACTGGGTCAGCCCATGACCTAATGCTTCCCATACATGAGGACACAGGCATGTGCTGCCTTCCTGGTACAGCAGACTCTTGCTTTCCATCAGCTCTTCCTGCTGCAGGACAAAGCAAAGTGACTGAATTCTCAAAGCAAACCAGGGTGAGATCAGGAAACAAGCCTGCGTACATCTCTCCAGAGAGGGTCTCAGCCCAGAGCTCTGCACCCTGGCGAGGCAGCGCCATGCCCTCCCCACTCGCACTGCTGTGTGACTCTAGATAACGGTTTCTGAGAATTGCATGCAGATTGTGCAAGTGATAACAACGTCCCCTGGCTCTGAGGGTGTCACCAGCAGCAAGCACGCAGCTGTAGGGAGCATAACTCTGGGAAGGATGCTGTTACAGTTTTCTAAACAAAATATTTTGCTGCCTGCTGCAGTGCAGAGCTTCCCCTGCCCATCCTGATGTCCCCAAGCACTGCCAGGGAAGGATGGCACTGAGCCCATGGCTTGCCTATCCTGACAACTCAAGAAACACACATGAGAGGAAGAAATGTGCATAATAGATGTCTTTATTCATAGCAAAGGGGGTTAAGAAAATAAGGCAAAACTCCAGCTCCTCTCTGAGCTCTGTTCACTGTGCTTTCTGACGGGTCTGTGACATTCAGGACATGCAAACAAAAGGACGGGGGCATTGTCACTGCTTCCTGCTAAGGTTGGCTAAGGTTTTCCCTTCTTTTTCTCACCAAAACAAGTCCAAAATGCCTCCAATCTCCACAAAGCACTGGGGGGGGGAAGGGGGGGGGGGGAGGGGCGTTGGAAGAATGAGATGGGAGCAGCTGATCCGAGGGGTCTGCAATGTCTCTAGGCCACCATAGAAGGTCATGAAGTCGTGGGTCATGGCACCTCCATGCCCTGTTACCTGGCTGGGGGCCAGGATGCGATAATGAGCAAAAAATAACATCTGCAAAAAAGCTGTGCGAGGACGGTGGGGAGACCCAGCCTGGGTTTTTCTCTTTATTTTTGGGGGGGATCCAAGGAAAGCACCCACGGAGAAGAGCACAAGCGATGGGTTCAGCTGCACTGAGCTCCTCAACGGCCCGAAGCGCAGCTCAAAAATGGCCTCCCATGGCTGTATGGGGTCAGGGGGAGGTAAAGGAGGGGGGTGTGGGGCTTCATCGGGGCTTCTTCGAGCCTCCACGTTCAGGTGGGCGGTGAGCAGGGCCGCCAGGAGACCGGCTCCTAGTCCATGGTTGGCACTAGGTGCTGGGAGAGCCATCTTGGACCTCCTTGCCCTCTGCGTTTGTTGCCTCTGACCCCACTCCTTCAGCATCTTGATTCAGGGGTTGGGGCTCAATGGGATGCTCGCTGCCTTCTTCCCCCCCGCCCTCGTGCTCTCCCTGGGCACCGGCCCCGTTGGTCAACGGCGCTTTATTGGGAGATTTGAGGTTCTGGGCTGCAGCCAAGATGTCAGCCTGCAGCTGTCGTCCACAGTCCAGGGGCTCCTCAGCGTCGGGGTCTGGAGCCTTCTCAGGCACCTCGTTGAAGTCCCGAGGCCCTCCGGTCTTATCCCGTTGGTCCACGTACTTCTTTTTGGGGAAGGAGGATGGGTAGTAGGCTGACGCCTTGTGCTTCTGCCGCACGATGACGGCGGCGCAGATGATGAAGAGCAAGACGAAGGCCAACGATCCCACCACCACCACCAGCAGCATGTACTCCTTGAAGAAATCCACCAACCCATCCAAGACGTTGCCCGGCGCCGAGCTGTTGGTGATGGCTGTCCCCACCGCGTCCCCCACTGTGGGGCCGCTTCCCGGCGTCACGGGTTGGGCGGGGGGCACAGCAGAGGCCTCCTCTCCATCCCCGCTGCCAACACTGGGCTCGTGGAACGCAGCCACGTGCCGTGGGGCTGCCGAGTGCACCAGGGCCACCAGAAACACCAACAGAAGGCACGCGGGCAGCTGCGCCGCCATCGCCCTGCAGAGAGCAGGGGGACGGCAAAACGTTAGGGCTTACTGGAGGAAAAACCCAAACCCCAAGCCAAGACTGCGTCGCATTGACCCCAACCCAAGCAGCGCATTGACCCCCAGCCACACACAGCTGAAATTCTTCAAGAAAAGCAAAAAATGGACTCGCTGCAGTGGTGAGGATAAGCAAAGTTTGTGTTTGTTTTGTGAAGAGGCGCTGTAAAAATAGATGGAAAGCAGCCCAACGCGATTGCTCAAGTCATGGGGACGCTGCGTGCGCGACGAGGTGACCAGGGTGAGAGCCAAGAGCTGGCTGCAGGCTGCCTTCGTCTGGTTTGAAAATTCCTGAAAATTGAGGTTTCCAAGTGGAAACTCTGACACAGATGGAGCCGCCGCATTTCCCAACGCTCGTCCCAGCGCTGCGCACTCCAAACGGTTCCCAGCCTGAGCTCAGCTATAAATAGGCTGGCAGGAGCTCAACCGGTACCAGACACAGCACATCCCCCCAGGCCCATCTCCCATCCTTACACCCCCAAATCCCGACCAGCTTGGGGTTCTCTCCCCCCAGTCTCAGCCTCCAGCCGGAGCTCTTGGCGCTCCAGCTCTTTCTGGCTGCAGAAATCTGGTTTGCATTAAAGCAGCGCGTGCACGGGGTGGGAGGTGGCCCTGCAATCCCTGCTGGGAGTTTGGGGGATGCAGTTTCAGGATTGGGGTGCGATCCCATGTCCCAGGAATGTGACTTTGTTTGCAAAAGGAGCCAGCAGCTGTAGAGTCAATACACGAAACCCAAATGGGTGACCACTGCCGTCTCCTTGTCCCCATCCCCACCATGTGGCCCCATCCCTTTGGATGGGGCTTTGCCACACCAACGCAGATGCAACTCTGCTTTTCTGCAACCCATGAATTTGGAGATTTTGGTGCTGTGCTGACATACTATCCTCCAAAGCAGCTGCAGCCCCATCCTGCACCCCAAAAGCCATCAAGCCACCCAAAAATTGGAGTTTGAGCAGAAAAGAGAGCACAAAGCATTAGAAAGTAGGAGCTTTGAGGAGAACAGACTCCATGCAACAGACTTGGGGTTCAGGGGGCTCACCTCACCGGCACTGCGTGTCTGTCCCGTGCTCCTCTGCCTGTCTGCACTGAGCCCTGGTCCCGTTCCCTCCTCCTCCTTTTCTTCCTCTCCTCCTCCTTCACCCGCCGTAGCCCTGAGCTCACTGGCTGTGTGCGCAGCAGACCAGCTTGTTCTCATTAGGGCCGTGTTGGGGAGGGAGCAGGGGGAGGCTGGAGAGGGGCAGGCGGCCCCCAGCCCACTATGGCTCCCTCCCAGTGGGGCGGCCCTGGGCTGGGGGCTGCTCAATGAAGGGGGTCACCTTCCCCACACTCCTTTTTGGGATGCAAGTGAGGAAAGGGGGGTGGGAGGAGGGGTTTGTAGCAAGGGATGGAGTTAACAGCGTGGTTCCTTCAGGGCTACATGCAGCCCCAAAACGTGAGCTTTTCCCCCATGCAGTTTCCTTTGGCTGCAACCCAACCTGGGTCTGGATCCCATCCCTGTAAACCTAAGTCTTGCCATGATGTGGGCTCAGGACACATGGTCCTGCAAAGCATGATCATGCATCTGCGCTGGGACAAAAGGGGATCAAAACTGCATGCAGAGCTCTGCTCACCTGCCCCATCCATCCTACCCATCCCATCCACCCCGTCAGTCCCATCAGTCTCTTCCATCCCATTCGCCCACCCATACCGTCCACCTCATTCACCCCCTCCATCACCTCCAGCTCATCCCCCCTTACACCCTATCCATCCTGTCTGCCACCAGGCACACCAAAGATGTCCATTCTGCCACCCCCTTTCAGCTTTGGCCTTTCCCTGGAGGCCAGACTGTCACATAGCTCCCATCATCCCGTGGCAGAGCAGTGTCCCCACGACAGAAAGAGTTGGGTGGTGTTACCCTGAGATCCACAGGGATAAGGACAGAGATGGGGACCAAGACAGGGACAGGGATGAGGAGGGTTTGGGGCTTGGTTCCCCGAGACTTTTGATGGCTCACAGTGTGGCCTTGAGGTGCAGAAACATCTCCAGAATGAGGGCATCACCCATCCCACCCTTCTTGGCCCCTCATCCCCTCCGTTGCGGCTGAAGTAACTCAAGCAGTGACCTCATCCCCTTGCTATTTGCATCCCGCCTCCCTGGGGACCCTGCCAGAATCCCCCTAAGAAGCCACTGCTTTGGGACCGCAGGGTGGGGGATGAGGGTGGGCGTCTCCGTTCCTGTCCCTGTCCCCATTTCCATCCCCGACGCAGTTCAGGTTTCACCCGGCGTCACCCCCTCTCTCCCAGAAATAACGCATCTGTCCGTCTGCCTGCAGCCCGCCGGCTGCTCACAGCTGCTGCTTTATCCCGACCTTAAATTATCTGCAAATCCTAAAAGGGAGAGGAGAGCCTGGGATGGAGCCAAGGCCCCACTACGTGCCGTGTGTCCCCATTCCTCGTCTCAAGGACCATGGGTCCGTGATGAGATTTGGAATAAAGCAGCACTGGGGAGCACTGAACCACTGTCCCTGTCTGCAAAGAGCACAATTTGGGGTGGTCCCTCTGCCAGCACCCACCGACCATTACGATGCTGTTTTTGGGGACTGGGCAGGGCAGCACCGCCCGGGCTGTGCTGTGTAATTTGGGGCAGATGAAAGGTGGGGGCCCACAGGGCTCGGCTCAGCACAGCCCCGAGCCCAACCAGCAATTTGGGAAATTTCGGCCTTGGTCTGCTTGTAATTTGCTCCGTTGGGTTTGCTCTTTGCTGTGGCAGCAAAATAGCTGGGGGGGGAGCCTCGTCCTGCAGGGCTGCACCACGGCGTGCGTGGCCATGTGGGCAGCACAGCAGTGAGCCACAAAGCAGCCTGCACAACACAGCACTGTGCTCTGCCCAGCACTGTGCACAGCCACTGCATCCCAAGCACGGATCTACCCTTGGAGCCAACCTGGCCGCTGCCCTGTGTTGTGGCTCAAGGCGTGGGGACATCCCATCCTACACCGTGTCCCTCGCAAGGAGCGTGGCACCACATCCATCTGATGGCAGACAGCTGTCATTATGGAAGAGCAGCTGTGGGGTGGCCCCACCACGCCATCCCCGCTGCACCGGCCCTGCAGCCTCACCGTAAACATTTACATTGAGCGAGGTGGAAAATATTCAAAGCAGAGCGTGAATGTAAACACATAGAGGCCAGGGCGGGAGCGGGATGGCCACTCCTCTGCTTTCGAGGCACGGATGCATTGGGGCACAGCACTTGGGGAGGGGCTTCGCTGCCCAAATGCTGCAAATGGTGGTGTGAGCAGGGTGGTGGGGACATGGGGACGGGGCGGGGGGAGAGGGCTGAGGATGGTGGGAGCGGGATGCTGAGCTGGGACAGGGATGGGGAGATTGGGGATGGAGACGTTGGGGATGGTGATGTTGAGACTGGAAGAGCAGGGGTGGGGATGCTGTGCCCAAATGGCACATGGATGGGGATGCAAGGATGTGCCCACGGAGGACCAGGATGGTGACATAGGGGCACAGTCCTATGGTGGGGCAGGAACGTAAGCCATTTTTGCTTGCTTGGGTGACTCCTCAGAGCTGAGCACAGGGAAGAGGTTGGGTTGATGACTCTAGGGATGGCCGACACCTCCCCACTGGGACAAGGTGGGACCAACATGGTCCCAGAGTCCTCTTCTCCCCCTGGACACAAGGCCAAGAGCCCACAACCACCACCTGTGGGTGTGGGATACAGGCCAGCAGCACCTTACCAGCCCCAGTGCCATCCCCTTGCCCCATTGCATTTGACTGCAGGCAGGAGCATGTTAAGCCACAAACACACCCACTGCAGCACCACCACCTTTTCCACTCCCAGCATGAGGTTGGGAACCCTGGGATCACCATCTCCATACGCTCTGCACCCTGGGAGGGTTTCATTTCTGCTGCTGCCATCAGAGGAGGAGGATGGAGAAGCGAAATTTCAGGATGGGGATGTGGGCAGGCACCGAGAGATCACCGCATCTGTGTAGCAGAGGCATTTTAATGGGGTGGATAAGTCTTTTCCATACAGTTCCAAGGCAAACAGTGGTGGCACCAGCGGCGGACCCTGCGCTGTTCCATCACCACGATGCTTCAGGAATGCTCCGGCAGAAAGCTGCTGAGCGTCAGGTTATCACCATCAGCTTCAGAGCTGGCATCAACCAGCAGCCTGTGACGCACAGGGATGCCACGCCGAGGACCATTGCTGGCAGCACGCTCGCTGTCGGGCAGCAGGGAGGAAATACAAATCATCTCGGTGGGGCCGAGCTGCCGACGAGCCGTCCTCACCCGCCGCCAAAGCAAGGTGCCCAGCACTGCCGTGCACACCATGAAGAGCCCGGCCACCAGTGCCAGCAGCAGGATGGCCAGCAGGCACTTGTTCATCAGCGAGCTGTTGTCCCACAGGTCATCGGAGGGTTCCGACGCTGTGGTCCCCCATGGTTTCATGGATAAAGGTGTTGTGTCCACCTCCCATGGAGGGCGAGAGCCAGTTTTTTGGGAAAATGTGGTGGTGGGGAGAAGAACTGAGCCTGGCTCCGTGGAGATGTCCATGTCACTGGTGACGGTCCCATCCGTGCCATGCCCTGTGGATTCCATCAGCTGGTTGGGCACAACGGTGCTGCCGCTTTGGGGTGCTGTGCCGGGCGCTGTCTCAGGAGAGTCGGTCTCATCCGAAGGATCCACTGTGGCGACCACCAAGGCCTTGGTTTTTCTGGTGCTGTCGTTCATCTTTGACGTCAGCTCCGAGCCCAGCGGCACAGTGGGCTCAGGGGTGTTGGTCTCATTCAATGGATTCACTGTGGTGACCAGCGAGGCCTTGGTTTGCCTGGGGGTGTTGCCTGGCTGCGGTGGTGACTTTGTGCCCAAGAGCTGAGACTGGGGGGAATCCTTCTTATCCAAGGAACCGGCCGTGGTCGGCACCAAGGCCTGGCTGGAGGTGTTGTCTGCCTCCGTGTCCAGCAGTGCATGAGGCTCGGTGGAGTCATCCATTTGACCTGCTGTGGTGACCACCAAAGGTTCGGGCTGCCCAGTGGTGTTATCCGGCTCCATCAGCATGTCATGCCCAGGGGATGCAGTCTCATTGCTAACAGGCATCACAGTGGTGCTGTGGGGTCCAGCATCAGCTCTTCTTCTGCGGAAGGGCAGCGGGGGCTCAGCCGGGATCTTCTCTGCTGCCCCCCAGACCCACTGCAGGTCCTGCTGCATGGGCCGGGGCCTGCAGTCCTGCAGGGTGCTGAGCAGCAGTGCCAGCAGCACGGTGTAGCCCAGTGCCATGGGACCTGGGGAGGACACATGGGGTGGGTGAAATGAGGCCCCTCCACCCGAGCAAAGAGAGTTTGCAAAGGGAAGTGGAGAGGCTGGAAATGGGAAACGAGCTGTGATGGAGACGGCCGCTGTGAGAAGAGTGGGTGCAGGAGGGCTGCCTGAGTGGAAATGAAAGTGTGGGGATGGTACGGGCTGCAGATTGAGAACCCCCAGTGCCTTCCTCCCCCTCTGTGCTGCCAACATAATGCTGGGGGCATCCACTCAGAGCAGGATTAAAACCACCCAAACCCACCCGGCACTCAGCGGTCCCCAAACAGCTCACATCCAGCCCCAAAACTGCCCCACATCTGCCCTCCTCACATCCCAGTGAGCAGCATGGGGAAGAGGGTGGCAGCCCCTGCAGACTCTATGCATCCCCTGGGCACCCTGCTCCATCCCCACGGGTTTTGAGGCTCACCTGTGCCGGGGGATGTTGAGGGACCCCGAGCTGCAGCACCGGTGGCTGTCGCTGCTGAGGTCCCAAACCCAGGGGCGTCGTGGGCTGCGCTCCGCCTGCAGCTCCCCAGTGAGGCAGGCAGGAAATGTGGCTGCGGTTTTGGAGCCTTGCAAGAAGAGGACGTGACGCTGACACCGGAGGCCAGGGGGCTGTGTGCACCCCAGAAATCAGCCTCCTGCTCCTTTACCAGGATGATGGTCCCGTGGCTATTCCACTGCCCTGCTTCTCCGAGCCTGCACGCCGGGGCTTGTGCTCAAAGCACAAGTGAAAGCAGAAGTGATAGGAAAGGCAGTGCAAAAGCTGGCAGCGCCCATGGCACGGTGCAGGCACAGATCCCTGAGAGCTGACCCCATGGGATGACACAGGGGACCCCGTGTGGAAAGGAGGAGGGCAGGGGCTTGGCTCTATGCATTCACAGAGCCTCCATATCTAAATGCTTCTCCTTGCACCTGCCCAAAGCAGCACTCAGGCTCACAGAGCACAGGGATGCTGAGGAGGAACCCGCCCTGACCGCAAGCACCGGCACAGCAGTGCGCAGGAGCTGCACCCGCAGGAAGGGTGCTGCAAGAGCACATCCGCAGCACACACCCTGCATCCAAAAACAACCCCACCGCAGCCCTCTGCCCCAACACAGGGTGCAGTGCTTGGCTGCATCCACCCCAAAGCTTCTGGGAAACCCACGGGGCAGGGGTAGAGCATCACTGGGACAAGGCCAGGGCATGCACAGGCTGCGAGGGAGCATCTCCTGCAGAGAGCATTCCCATCTTGCCCTCTCAGCAGCCCCCAGCTGTGCTTGCAGGGGAACCACCATCCCTTGGGGCCACACTGGGCAGAACGCAGAGTCCCAGAAGAGGGGTGGCTCAGCCCCACTACCGGGTTTCCATTGCTGTGGTTATCCCACAGTGCCATCATTCATCAGAACCCACACCCCAGCCCCACAGCCCCCACACCTGCCTGGGACCAGCTCCAAGAGGGGAACTGGGCACAGCTGATGACATTCCCCACCCCCACGCCTTCCTGGGCACCCAGGCCTGGCAAGAACACAGTCAAAGAACAAACCAAGAGAAGGAAGTTTGTAATCAATGACTTTTTATCTCTTGAAAATGGAAGCAAATATTTGGACAGATAACTATGGCCGCTCTATAAGAGCGCATCTTTCAGGACGTCGCTGGTTCTCTTCTGGGATATCGCGGCTACAAAAAGCTTCAGGCACTGACTCTGGCTGAGCCTGGCGAGGCATCATCAGTTCATTTAAATAAAGCACAAGCTATAAGCTCACAGCCACGGCGGCCATTCCTCAAACCTCCACCGCACACCAACCCCATCTGGGCACCTCCATCCAGCGGTTCGGAAACTTATTTCCCTCCAATTTGAAAAAAAAAATAAAATAAAAGTTCTCCCCAAGCACACAACCACCCTGAAGTCACACAAACCAACACAGAGATCACCGTTTCGGGGGGAGTGGAACGTTTGGTTTTGACTTCCCAAAAGTAAAGACACATCAGCTCAGCCATTTACTGCGGCACAGAAACGTCACCAAACGGCCCCAGGACCCGGAGGGCTGCGACACGGCACCAGCGGTCACCCACACCCCCCACCTAAAAACACTTTGAGGAAGCTTTCATGCTCTGGGATCATAACACATTCTCTGCCTCTCGCATCCCATCCTCTTGCCTCTCTGCTACTTCTCCTAGCTGTCCCCATTCTCACCGACACAGACATCCCTTCCAGCACAGAGAATCCTTAACGGGTAAGGAGTGAACATGCAAACACTGAAAAAAGGAAAACCCCCCAAAAAACCAACCTAATGGGGGATTTGAGGCTGTCTATAGCTAACCTAATGGAAAAAAGGATCAGCCTGGATGAAGGGACGCATCCTGCTGCTGCTCTGAGCACACACACAGGCACGCACGCTGCAGCCGTGCAGGATGAAGGACTAGAGCACAGCTGGGAGGGACTGGGGGCTCATCAGCTGCTGACTGCTTCCCAGATGTTGGTCTGACCCCAACAGGTTTGCTCACGTTGGGTTTGATAAGGGATGCTGGGCACTGCATATGGGCTGCACCAATACAGCAAAGCCTGAGGGCTGGCAGAGTTTGGCTGGGCAGCATCATCCTGGGCACACCTATGGGAACTCCTATGACCAGATACAGAGTCAAGAACATGGCTGCCCCGTGCCCAGACACCCCCCTGGCAGTGCAGACCTCATGTGAGCAGCAGAAACCCAGCGAGGAGCTTGGCGTGCCTTGCACCTTTCAGCTGAGGACCTCAAAGAGGAGAGTTGCTGATCTCATCCAGGAAGAAACCATTTCCTGCAAAGTTTTAAGGCAGGGATGATAGAGGGGGAGAAAAAGATCAACAACAGTCGGAGGCGTTTTGTTTCTGAGATCCATCATGAAAGTTGCCTGGCTGCTCCTAACACTGCTTCGGAAGCAGAGTCCAAATTTCTATCATCAGCACTACAGTCTGGGACAAAGAATTGCAAAGTCACAGCTTTTAAAAGGCTTCTGAAAGCAATGAAGGTGCAGGCACACATTTACAGCCACGCACACAGCACAGGAGCTGGCTGTCCGTGTGGCCTGCAGGCTGCTGACACTGCACACCGTAAGCTTTGTGCCCCATCAACACAACACCACTGCCTGCACGGAGGTCACTTCTGCCTTAAAACAAAACCTGGCAATGAGCACACGTCCATTTGGACACAGCTGGGATGGTCCCAAACTCTTTTCCAAGGGCAGCACGACGCTGGTTCAGAAGTCCTGCAGGGTGTACAAAGGAGAAGAGGCATTGCGGCACGGATCGCTTCGTTCAGAACGTTATATATATTTTTCAACCACGGTCAGAAGGCATTAGGAAGGCAGGAAAGTCACCTCTGAGGGGCTCAGCAGCAGCCACACTGCGAGGGAAGCCGATCTGATTGTTCAACATTGAAGATTTATACAAAATAGCTTCAGTTCCGATCTCTAAACAGTATAAACACCCCCATACACGCACGCGCACACACACACAGTGCTGTCCCTTTAAATTTAAAACACAAATACTGCAAAGTGGCAAATAAAATTTAAAAAAAAAAAAAAAAAAGCAAGTTTTTTTTTTTTTTTTTCTCTTTTCTTTTTTTTGGCAACTTTAAAAAAAAAAAAATAATGGTTACGAACAATGTGGCATTGGTCCCTACATCTAGAAAAGATATTTGGGCACAACATGGAAAGAGTCAGAATGGGTTTCTTTTCAAGAATTCATAACATCTGTGGAAAAAAAAAAAAAATAAAGACTGTAAAAGTAGCACTTATTCTCGTTGAATTGTTTGACACAGTCACATAAATTCATTAAAACATCAGGGAAAAAAAAAAATTCTTTCACTAAAAAGCTTGGCTTTAATCATCGGCTCTCGTTGACGTGAATTTGGGAGAACAGGAAAGCTCGTACTGGAATGCTGCACGCTGCTGCTGGCCAAACCGGGGAACTGGAATGTGTTGGGCTGGCAGCGCCCGCCAGCCCCGCTCAGTCTGCGATCTTCGCCATCTGCTGTTCCAGCTTGGAAATGCGCTCGTCTTGGTTGGTGATGGTGTCTTTTATGGATTTCAGCTCTTTCAAAATCTCATCCAATTTGGCTTCGTTTTGCTGGAAGGAAAGACACAGCATATATTCGTTATGAGATGGCAGGATTCGGTCCTGCAGAATTCAGCTGTTAAAGCAAAGGGATTTCTCTGGATGGGAGCCTTGCAAGGCTCGAGCATGCTGAACTCCCACTGTGGAATCATTAAGGTTAGAAAAGACCTCTGAGATCATCAAGTCCAACCATCAGCCCACTCATGCTGCTAACCACATCCCTTATGCAAACCCTCCTTGCAGACAGCAGCCTGACCCAATCCCAGCGTACTGGAATTGCACACACCAGCTTTGTTAGAACTGTTCCTAAGGATGGCAAACAATTTCAGGCCTGCACCCCCAAAAACCTGCAGATTTTACTCACAGTGTCTGAGGCATCAGCTGCTTTCTTTGGAGCACTTATGAGATCACTTTTCTTGTTTGCAGCAGGTTTGTTATCCAGTATATTCTTCTTGACCACCTTGAGATCCCTGTTCTTGCCAGGAATGTACCCATGCTTCAAGGAAATGAGAAGGGGATCAGCATTCTTCCCCTCAAACCACTCTTCTGCTTCCAGCGCTGCCTCTGGGCCAGCTGTGTCGGGGTACAGGTCATCCTGGAAGAGGTCCGACTGCAAGGAGAAATGAGTGGGTCAGGAGCTTTGGGGCTGGAAGGCAGCAGTGGCCTGCACACCGCGCCAGCAGCATCCTGGGCTCACCTTTCGAGGGACTGTCATGATGATGGGCTCACATTTCCGCTCATGAAGCTTGAAGAACCTTTCAAAAAAAGGATAATAATAATAATAATAATGAAGAAGAGGTGCGACTTGGAGGGAGGACAGTTGACACGCCATGCAGAGGAAGCCTCAGTTCTGCTGCTCATGCATAGCAGTGTACTGAGAGGCAGAGGCAATCCTAAAGAGTCACAGCAGGGCTGCGCTAGAGCAGAGCCCTTGTAAGGCCCAGAGAAAGCTACCTGTGTGCGTGCAGAACTCCCTCCTAGGCACTGCGTGACTTCAGAGAGCACTCTGGCCAGAAGGGCCATCAGAATGGCACAGCCCGCTGCTTGGGCTGTTGAGACAAGCACCACACAAGTGATTTCCAGGTATCACAGCACCAGCAGCGTCCTGCTCACTACACAGCCTTACTCTGAGCCACTTACACAAACTCCAATCCCTCAGCTCAGCCACTGAGGCACTGCTACTGGAAAATTCATATGCTGCAGACAATTTGTTTGAAGGCTTTGCTTCCTTTCTGACTCTCCTGCTTTCATTAATAACAAGAGGAGGACCAAGCAGCTTCAGAAACCACCTCCAGCACATTCCCTACCAGCAGTATGCCAGGAGCCACACACGCTGCTGCTCACAATAAATTCTTGAGACAGCTTCAAACCTGCTTGCTGCATCCAAGCTGGAGATTGGGATCAGCCTTTCTCCTTACCTGGCAATCTCACACTTGTTCACATCAAGGCCCCTCTTTGGCATGAACCCCATTCCCCTCTGCGGCTCTTTGCTGCTGAAGGTGTTGAGGTAGTGAACATAGGGGGATTCATCCGTGATCTCAAAGTAGCGAATGCTGCTGTCACCCTGCAGGACACAAAAAGATCACTCCAGAGTGAATCCTGCTCTGCAGGCATCTCTGAAACAGCAGCAGAGGTAGCAGGCATACAGAACAAATGCTTCCCATTAGCAGCCTACATTGGATTTACTTGTATGGATCCTCCTTTTTAATTACTTGTTCACCTCTTCTTGTTTTTAGCTCCTCTTGTAGGAAGTCCAAAGCTGCAGCACTCAGAAGTGGGCACTCCAGAGCACTTAATGCCAACAGATTGCTTTTAGAAAGGAGCACAGGTGACCCCAGTTTTCTATTATCTAGCCCCACAAAATTAGCATAAGCACTGCTGCATGCTCCATCACCTTCAAGTGTGAGGATAACACAATCTAAAATGCACTTTCCTCCCATACTAACACACAAACATTCAGGTCAACGCCAACAAAAGATGTTTGAAGGAAAGCATCTGACTTGTTGAATGAAGAGCAGCTTAACCCATATGAATTCATCTCATAAAACATCCAATTGCACACCATGCCTTCACAGTGCAGACCTCACAGGCTCTGTGTAGCCCTGCAGAGTGAGGATCAAAGCAGCCTGGAATTTTTCAGATTTGTTTACAACTTCGTCAGCATCATTCATCCAATCAGTCTACCTCTAAACAAGCCTGGTGATTAAAAGCTTCTTCTCACCTTGCCACACAAGTAAATAATGTTGGTATCTGGGTCATAGAATGGCAGCAGGACCCCATTGCTGGTGTCCATCTCGTGAAGGGCTATTGGCTCCTCCATGTTTTTCTGGAAATTTGAAAAAGAAAATTCTGTTGTTACCAAAGAATGGAAAAGCTGATATTAACACAGGATCTGCATCATTAACAGTTCTTTGGAGCTAGAGAACACTCGGCTTCTCCACCCTGAAGGCTCTGTGTTAGAATAACAAATGCTGATGTCTTGCAAGCTTATCCATTCCCTCAGGATGTTTTAATCACAAGACACATTCAGAGCAGGACCCCAGGAAAGGGGGTCAAGTTAAAGGGAAAGATATGATGCAGTCATGTTAGTGAGAATCCCGTGCCAGTGTGATAGATTTGCTGCTGTCTCGCTCTGTACAACTCAAGTACTCTCCCTGCACTTCAGACGTGCAGCTGCCAGCTTCACTTCTGCTCTCAGTGAGGCAGGGGCTGACAGAAGAAAACCCACTTCCTCTCCTGAGCGAGCATCAAGTCCAAATAACACCAACACGCTCTGGCACAGGAAGTCTGAGTAGGGTCAGAGAGAAGGAAGAAGCTCAAGTAAATCAACCAAACACAGCAGCTGACTGTAGGTCCTGGTCACCAGCTCAGCTGGGCACGACAACAGCACAGCAGTCGTGGGACAAGAACCTACTGGATTCCAGAGGGCCAGCTGCCGCTCGCTCATGCGGCTGAAGCCGGTCGTGAAGATGTTTCCATCAGCGAGGAAAATGGCTCGCATGGGCCGGGCTCCCTCATGGGTTTTCTCTTTCTCCTGAAATAGATGTGAAGAACAGCCTTTAGCAAGGAGCAGAATGCCCCACCGGTGGTGATTCTCTTTTGACTGCACAGAATGCCAGCAGGACATGCTGCTCCTTCACGATGCTGACTATATGGAGCAACATCCAGCCACCCCTGCCTGATGCTTGAGGGAAGAAAGCCATTACTAAGCTACAAAAGAAGTGGTCACAGCCAGCTTGCTTCAGCTTTGCCTATCCGATTCTTACAAGGCTGAAGGAAGGCTTCTTCTCAAGCTACAATACATACAAGGCTGCTAAATCTCTGTTCTGCATACACAACTTTGAAACTGTAATTATGCAAAAGGATTAGATGTGGAATTACACTCCAGCAGGTTTTAAAACTGAGCCCTCAAATCCCAGTTCAAACACTAATTCCAATAAACCCAGACAAATCCTCCAAGCACTGCTATCCCTCTTGTAATTTCTTTCTCACTTTGAAGAAGGTGACTGAACGTGGTGTGCACTGGGAAAAAAAGGTACTTCCTCTATATGCTCTCTCTGCTGAAGTGAAATGACTGCACAAACTCACAGCGATGATTTCTTGTTTCCTGGGGTCAATGATTCGAACTTTTTTGTCTTTGGAAGCTGTACAGATTAGGCTGCCATTGCGATTCCAGCTCACATTGTAGATCACATCCACGTGCATGTCATCCAAGTTGATGAGGGCTTCACCTGTCCCCACGTTCCAGATGATAATTGCATTATCACAACCTGAAAGAGAAAATAAAAGCTAAAAAATCACAGCCGTGATGTGAACTGAAGAAAGCCAGCAGCAGAGAGCAAGGAATAAGACCTGCTGCAGCTGCAGTGCCTCGGGCACTGTCTCTTAAGTGTGCTCTGTGTGCAGCGCCCCAGGCAGCACCACCTCACTTGAATACGGGGTCAGAAAGGGGATGAAGTGGACAGAGAAGGCAAAGAGGTGATGTTCTTACAGCTCTGCACATGACAGCACTGGCTGACAGTCACTGCTCTCTCAGGTTACAGAGATCTGCAGCAGAAAGTGGCGTGGATGGAGAATTTGGCAAGTGACAGTAGAAGAAACAACGGAACATAATGGGGGGGAAAAACAGCAGGCATCAAAAGCTGAGGTCAGCTGTTTCATGAGAATCATTAGGCAGGTGGTTTTGTTCAAGGACCAAACAGCAAGAAGAAAAAGAATAAAGCCTTGAACAAGATGACAGCAAAATAAAGAACAGGACTGCAGCCATAAGATCCCAGAGAAGAGAACAAAAGCACAACGTGCAAGTTAGCAATGCTTCCTAATGCTTAAGGAGGGGTGAAAACATACTGAGGGGAACATAACGATCCCTGTGCACTCCTAAACAGTCCAATAGACATCCAACATCAGTTTGGTGCCACCAAGAGGAAGCCTGGAGGCTGCACTGACCTGATGGTATCCTCCTGGCCAGGCTGCCTGGACACACACAGCAGGAGTCTGAGCAAGCTGCCTTCTCCTTTCGTGCATTCCCACACTGAGCTTTGTTAATTTAACTGCCACAAAGTCTGCATCAAAGCATTTTTGGGGAAACCAGATCCAAACCAAACCAGCACCTCAGAGAGCCTTTACATCTACCAAAAACACACAGCTCATCTGACAGCCCAGCTGAAACCATTTGCTGCTTTTATTACGCTCCAAGCTAAAGGTCACGCTGTGAAAGCTGCAGAGTGAGCTAATGGATAACGACTTTCCATTTTATTTCCATAATGATTTGACTGTTTTTCAGTGGCCAAAAAAATCTCATTGCATAAACTGTACCAGTCGAGGAGGCCATTTGGAAAATACTGAAAGTTTGTGGAATGAAGAGCCAGGCACTGGGACAGCTGACAGCGAAATGGAGGAACAGTTAGGCCTTTTATAAGAAGTACATGAAAACAGGGATGAGGAGAGTGCATATGAACGCCTCTCAGCTGATGAAACTTGCAGATCAAAGAAAGTCTAACAGTTGTAATCCTGTAATTCATACCTCCAATTTCCTGCTTCTCTGTAAACTGAGGGCAATAAAAGGCCAAGGAAGGGGCTGTGAGCCACATGTCACAGTGTTCCTAGGAACTGTCACGGGTCTTGTGATTCCCTGAAGCAGCTGGGAGAGGACAGGAGGAGCCATCAGCTCCCTCTCCTCCAAAACACCCAATTGGGATGCCATGGGGATGGCTGCTGCCCACACAGCACTGCCACATACCTGCACTGAGCAGCACGTTGCGCGCCGTCGGGTGCCAAGCCACGATGCCCACTCGCTTCGAATGGCCTTCTAGAACTACCACTGGCTCTGTCAAGGACAGCGTGAGCCCGTTCTCAGGAATCTGCCATACCTGGAAAAGGGGAAAAGGAAAGATGGTGAGGCAAAGGGCATCCTTCTGATGAGCACATTAGTCATTCGCTTCACGCATCCTGTGCCAAGCCACAGCAGAAGCCTAGGTTGTCACTTCTCCACATAAATGGGAAAACAGAGGGAGGAGACTTTTGTCAAGGCTGAGTGTAACATCCTTCCAGCACAGCACCTGACTGATGGCTGGTCACACCATGAATCCCCTCCACCACTACATCCCAGAGCCATACATGTCAGCTGCTGCCTGCGAAGGACTCAGAAAACATTGCCTAGCTGCTCGATTCCACCTGAACCAGCTGCTGTCCTTTCAAGTTATGCTTGTCCCTCGTAAAGAAGTTGCAGCTACGTTGGGGTTGACTTCTTTAGAAATGCTGGCTGTTTTCTGTCTCACCTACATGGCTCCACATTCTTCCGCTGGTCAGGACAGTGCCAGCAGGGGAAGGAGCAGTCCCAGGGCTCTGATCACACCTCTGCAGTCCCAGCTGTGGGGCCAGAACAGCTAAACTGAGCCCAGGTGGTGCCCTCTGCAATGGGCAATGACAGGGGAGAAGATTCATCCCTGTGGCCCAGGGAAGGAGCAGCCCACCAAAGCTTTTGCTGCAGTTTAGCACTGGACAACCATATTTGAACTGAGTTTGACCTACATCCGGCATGTTAACAGAAATTAAAGGAGAAGCCTTCAACTGAGCACTTATAGCTGCTGGAGGTAGGTGGCAGCAGCAGAGCACGTTTCATTCCCTTCTATTGTTCGTTTTTTCTGGAGGAGAAGAGGGATTGCCAAGCCCTGCCCGCAGTGCCCAGCAATCTGTCAGAGGTAGCAGGATGACTCCAAGAGGATTTCAGAACCAGGGCAGCTCACTTCCAAACAACCCCAAATGACTTCAACAGCGCAGCTGCACCCCTGCCTGCACCCTCCAGGGTTTCAAACCCTTCCTTCTCCTCTTGCCCAGCCATCCCAGCTGCACCCACAGCACCAGGATGGCATGTGCTGGCTTTCACCAGCAATCACCTTTTTTGTCATGTTACAAAAGAGCACGGCAGCATCAGCAACTGCAGACTCCATCTGAAAGCAAAATACACCTTGCACACTGCAACAAGTCAGTGCACCTGCCCATGACAAGGTAACTCCAGGTTAGAGAGCTGTCAGCTCTTATAGGAGCAGCTTTGTTCATGCCAGCCAGGGAATAAAAGCCTGACAGCAGCAACAGCTAACGCACGTCTGCTGACAGCAGCTCAGAGCTTCAGTCAGTCTGCTAAAACTGGCACTGGCACTTAATGTAATTATTTTACGTAGGTCTCACAGGAACCACCTCCAAAGCCTTAATGATTCTGAGTGCGAGTGCTACGCTGCAGGAAATAGCTGCTGCCTGAGGCAGACAGCAGGGAGGAGTGGGAGTGCTGGGGAGGGGGCTGTGCAGGAACAACAGGGACCGTGGGTGCAACCTGGGGCACAGGCAGGAGAGGACCAGAAACAAAGAAGATCCAGAAGCCACCCAAAATGCTTTTCCTCTAGATGAAAAGGCCAGGACAGTTAGGTCTGCCAGAGGCAGGCTGATGTTGTGCTGAGGATGGGGCAGGGAACCAGAGCTCTGCTCATCCTGAAGTTTGGGGAGTCTTTGGAAATAGCAAACCTTGACGAGCACAGCATCTTCTTCCCCTTGGAGGGACAAAGCTGTTCTTCCACACTGCTCTGCCCCAAATTCATGCGGCCTCACCCCAAGCGGATGGCTGTCCTGAGCCAGGGCAGCTTTCAGAGCCACAGCTCCAGCTGTGAGGGACCACCAAACGAAGGGTGGGAGAGGAGAGAGGGGGGAACTGCAGGCAGAAACCAATAGAAGGGATTTTTAAGAAGCCTCTGGAGGACGGAGATATGTTTTTTTCCTTCAAGGAAAAGAGGGAAAGCCCCTATAGCTTACAGCAGCTGCAGGCCAGTGTAATCCCCTGCAGATTACACAAACTATTGACCTAATAATCCTGCTTGGTATTGCAAAAAAGCCAGGAGTGTAAAAGGTCGGGGTGTGCTCCCGAGCGACCCGGCCCAGCATTCCTGCGTGGGGAGGGAACCTCCCTGTGTGGGATGGAATGGGCACAGCACAGCTTCCCACGTGGAAGCCTTCACACTGCATGATCAAATGAAGGCTTTCACCTGCATCCCTGCAGGAGCAGGCACTGAGAGCAGCCATTCTCACTGCTGCAAGGGCTCTCCTTTCATTTGAAACCAATTTGCTCCGTGGAATGAACTCTTCTCTGATTGTTAACAAGAAGATCATTAGTGTTCACCTTCTGATGAAGCAAATTTTTCCTATCTGAGAAGGACCATCTGATACCATTTACGAGCCTTTCCAGAATCAAACGTTTTCCAGCTGAATTAAAAAGCCTTCAGTACGTTACAGTCATTCAGCAAAGCACCAGGCATGAATATTTAAATAATTCCTGATTTGTTGGCACAAGAGAATCCTTCTTCAAAGAGAAGCCACAGAAGGTATCCGCATGCCTCTGTGTTTTCAAAGAAGTCTTTCTGAGAACAGCGTGGAGCAGAGAAGATGGGGATGCCCCACTGGTATCAAAAAAAAAGATGCCTGCTTTTCCAGTGCCCTAATGAGCCCAAATAATTACCTGCTCAGATGCAGTTCCCAGGCTATTTTCACCTTACAGACTGACTTCTCTCATTGCTTGGCTGGATGGATTCTCAGAGCCACGTTCTCCCCCTCACCATGAGCCTAGCTGATGCTGATGGGTCCTGTTGTGGCACAGGGTCAGATCCTAAATCCTTAAGTGTCAACATACAGATGGCCTCTGACAATTTAAGTTACTTTTTAAAAGCAGCTGGTGCTTCTGCAAAAAGCCACATCATTTCCCTCCACTGCATCACTGTTTTTTGCATTTTCTGTTGGCTAATGAACAGTTCAGAGTTGAAGAAGCGCTACATATCTCTCAAAGGAATTAAGATGAGTTTATTCAGCGCCAGGCTGCTCAGGAAGCAGGACTCCAAAAACCTCTGCTGAAGAAAAGCAAGGAAAACAGGATGCGGAACAACTTGTGCCAAGCCAGACAAGCAATTAAAGCTGGGACAGCTCAGCTCACCGGCTCATCCAGTTCCTCTCCCAAGCAATGCAGGCCAGCCGCGTTCTTTACAATCTCCAGCTCTCTGTCCAGCCCACTTCATACGTGTCCCAGACGATTTGCCCACCAGAAACTACACAAGACCTAACAAGAGACTCAGCTGAGCTTTCAGCCAGCCCTCCTCGATTTCACAGCCACCATTTCCCAGACCCACACATATGGGGTGTGGGGACAGGATGGGCAGTGACCCTGGAGCACACAAAGCCCTGCTCTGTGTGGACGGTGTTGTCTGCTCACCAGGAGAGTGTGGACAACTCGTAATTGAGCACTGTCAGTTTTTCTCCACAATTCAGTCCCTCTGGAGCCTTGCAACATACTTGTCATTGCACTTGGATTAGTGACTTATCTTGCCTCTCCAAAGCAGCTATGGACTACAGCTTCGTCTGCTTCTGTTGATGCTCATGTTTCAGAAAGCATTCGTTCTGACTCACAGCCCTTTTGGATTCTGGTTTCTAGAGGAACAAAACAGCATCCTTCAAAGCTCAGTTCTAGCCCAGCAGTGACTGTTACAAACACAGAAGCTTGTTGTTTTGTTTAATATTAAATATAGTAAGCTTTGTTAACATGCTTTGGCTTCCAAGACAGAGAGATCACAGGCAAGAGCTGTCCCAGCATAAGCCACTTGGGATGAATCCCCTCCCAAACATTTTAACGATGAACAGAAGCAAAGGAATTTATCTGACATGATCTATAATAAGATTTCAATATAACATTCAGCCTACAGCATTTCTAAATATGGCCAAAGATCACTGAAGTTATTTGGCATTATTTCATCTTACAAGCATTTTCTTTCACTTATTCTGCTGTGTTTGCATACACAGGATTCCACATCCATCACTGAGCAAGGTCGTCTATTGTTCAGTGCGTAAAACAGGACTGGGGACCAAGGCTGGCAGGTGTAAAAATTGGATCACTGTTAATATACTTAAATAAAAATAAATTTTAAGAAATCCCAAACTTTTGACATCGACTCACAACCTTTGACTAGGAAAAGATGTAAGTTTCAACTTTAAACCAAGGGCTGAAGCAATTATGAAAGCAGAATAGCTTGCTCCTCCCTTTAATCTCCACGGCTTTGCAGCACACACCACCACATCCATTTGGATACCTGAGATTGGGAACCTCCTCCAGCTTCTGTAAAGCACTGCAAACCAAACCAAGCCACTACTGAATGGCACGCTGCCTTCCTTCCCTTCCCAAACATCAGATCCCCAGAGGAAGAACTGCTCTTCTACTAGCCCAAGAGAAAACCAGAAAGTTGGATGCCAAGGTAGAAGGCATCTCAGTTCTCAAGCAGAACCAAAACCCACTACGGAGAATGCCCATAAGCAGTCCTCCAGCAGAAAGGATTCTACCTTTGGTACCAGGACAGGAGACAGCCACATGCATTCAGAAACATAAGCACCATTTGCAGCATCACTCTCAGCATGAAAGCAGGCCCACTCACCATGACAGTGCAGTCCTCAGAGCCGCTGGCGATGACCTGGTCGTTGTGGGGACACCAGTCAATGTCCAGCACTGGTCCTGTGTGCCCGCACACCGTTGGGTAGGACTTGTCAATTCGGCCCGTCTGGAGGAGAAAAGCAAAGAGGAGAGCTGTGATATGTTGACAATACAGAGCACATCTCAAACAACAGAAGAAGACTCCTCCTAACGCTTCACTGAGGCTTTTGGTATTCAGTTTTATGGCATTTGGATTATCTTGTGCACCAACAGAGGAAACGAGCCGGCGACTTTCTTCTTGGAGACATCCCGTGGTGCAAGCCAGCTCTGCTCGTGCTTCATGACAGTGGGCAGCCACAGCTAAAGATAACCAGGCTGCAGCTCTAATTGCAGGGTGCTGCAGCGCTTTGAATTCACCAAGCCTGCTCGCTTTCATCCCAAAGGCATTTTGCTGAGATGGAAAGCATTTAAGGCGCAGTTAAGTGAAGCAAAGCACTGTGTTACAGGACTAAATGACAAAAGTGATCCACCGACTGCCGCAGCGACGCCCTCACTGACTCCCACTTGCCCCTATGGCACACCTCAGTGCCACCAGCGTGCCACCAAAGTCAGCTCCCCAGCAGAACAAGCCAACAAAATACCCCACATGAGATGGATCCAGCAATGGCAACACAGCACCCCTTCACATCCTGAAGCCAGAGCAAGATTCCCATGGCTGCAGGGCCAGGAACTGCAGCCCTTCCCCTAAAGGATTTTGCTGCCCACATGGATGCATCAGCAAAACACGGCTGACGGGAGGCAGGGAGGGAACGTTTTGGGACAGATTCTTCACTTCTTGTGTTTAAATATGTGGAAGAAATGGTTGGCATTTCAGTTCTACCACTTGGTGGTGACAGCCTCAGCCTCGGAGCTGGGCACTCCTCCTGCTGATTGCCATGCAGAAGGCTCTCCCTGCTCAAAGCTGGAGGGTCAGAATCAAGCTGGATGTGGGCTTTGGAGGACTGCTGACCTCCAGACCTCTCCTGGTGAGAAAACAAGACAGCGATCCAACAGACTCAGAGTTAAATCACAGGAACACCACAACAGACATTTCCTGAATGGCCAAATTCAGGTTAAAAAGTAAATAAAAATGCTACAGTGAGCAGCAGCAGACATCCATCTGCACACCTCTCCCCTCTGCACGTGGACTGACCTATGGAAAAAGATTCTTAATAAAGGAATAAAGAAAAGAAATGGGCAGCCCCATCCCCTGCACAGCCACTATGCAGAAAAAGGCTTTAAGATTTATTTGGGGTGGGGGGGGGGTTGGTCAAAAGTGAATTCTTGGACTAAAGTTCTTCCGCAGTCCTCCCAGGTTTGAGAGTTTGGTTTTGTTTCCTTTCTTTCTTTTTCTTTTTTTTTTAATGTAATCTTTTAATTAGTTAAGGATTTAAAATAAACCTCAAGCGCTGATACAGAGCTTAAAATTAACTCAGTATGACTTCAAGAAATTAAATCCTTCTCAAAATCCATTACCGCTCTGCTTGAGCGACACTTCACCGTAACAGCTTTTGATGCTCTAAAAGTTGTGCTTTGAGAAGAGTTATAAAAGCCATAAAAAGCCTTGAGGACCAGTCCTGGTGTGCTGGAAGGTGCTGAGCTGGAGCACGCTCAAAGTTCAGGTCCTTTAGCAGAGGTGGGCTGCCCTTAACAACTGACAGATAAGAACAAAAAGCTCTGTTATTAAATCCATAGGGGTCAGATAAGCAGCACGGGAAAACCATTCCCAGCAGCGGCAGTTTTATCAATTAATGTGATTGTCTCCCAACTGCTTCTATGCCAGAAAAGGGTGACAGGCTGCAGGAAACAGCCCCCAGATGGTGGTAAAAATATCACTGGGAACAGCTGCTTCCCCCAGGCCAGGTGATGCTCACCACCACCAAAAGGGAAGTGGCATTGAGTTGCACAAGGAGCAGCGATTTCACCACCCTCACTTTGCAGAAGTCTGAAGAAAGAAATAAGGTTGCAAGCACCAAGCCTGAAAGACAAACTGACCTCTACCTGTCTTCCCTGAGCCGTGTGACAATCCCCAATTCTGCAAAATTGGATGGAGTGAAGCTTGATGCACTCCTCATCTTCCACCTCTGGTTGCAGCAGCTGGCCACGCAGGTGGCACTCAGGGAAAATAATATGGGATGCAATGGAAGTGTATTGCTCTCTCGTGACAGTGACAAATAGCCATTAGTCACTGCTAAACCAATCACAGTATCCACAGCTAATGTGGAAGATGATGAAGAGAGATGCTGATGGCTCAGTGCAGCGATCCCTTCCATCCCTGCCTGCAGCCACCAAGCTCAGCTTCCACCCTCAGCGCTGCACAAGGCTTGAAGAGCTGCAGCAGCCTTGCCTTGCACTGAGCACTACCTGAGCATAAGGCAGAGGGGTAACAATGCTTGCCCCTCAATTTCCTACATAAGTAAGATTTCTGGAGCTTTACTGCCTGCCTGCTCTTCCTTAGTTCATCAAGAACTTGATGATCCACTGCAGTCAAGCTGATGGTGATAAGTGAAAACCATTAATATCTTGCTTTTTTTATCTAGTTGTTGCATGGTTGTCTTCAATTCTCATCTCCCCCACTCAACATACAGCATTGCTTGGGGCTGTGTGAGAATCCAAGCAAAATATAGGGGAAAAAAACTGTGGCCTTCAGAGGGACAGGAGTCCGCAGCCTCACGGCAGAAAGGCAGCACTTCCCATTTGGAGGCTTTATGTAACGGCTCACGCTCTGCCACCACAACTGAGAACTCCCTGCAGCAGCATTTTGTTCTTTGCAAGCTGCAAAGATTTTGCAGAGAGGGGGAAAAAAAATGGTCCCCAGTCCCCACAAAGCACAGCCCCAGCACCACGGTGTTTGTGAGCCGCTTTCCCAGCACATCAGGAAACTCCCAGCTATCAGCTGCATGGAGCTGCTGCGTGCAGCACGCAGGAGAGGCTCCAAAGGAGCTGCGTGCTGCTTGCTTGTGAGGATCGGTGCACACCTCCTCACCGGGCTCCCTCCCTGCACATTCACCGGGACCAGGATCCCAGATCAGCTCTGCAGTCCTGCTCTGCACCGCTCTGCTCAGTGCCCATCACACACAATCTGCAGCAAACGCGCTGTTTCCACTCTTCTTCCCCGACGCGCACAGCTCACTCCAATTAGCCTATTATCTGCGCTCCACAATGGATACAGATTAAAGCACTTTATCTACGGCTGGCCCCGCAGAGCGGCCAACCCGCGGGAATCGCAATTCCCAGCAAGTCTGGAGGCTCCTGCTGGCGCACGGGGACGGTGAATCCCGGAAGGTCCACGCACAGGGCGGGACGACGCAGCAGCCCGGCGGCACCCGACTCCGCTGACCGCAGCCCCGGCCACGCAGCGGTTAACCGGCTCGCACTTGCCGCGCATTGGCTCGGCCCCCGCCAATCAGAGCGGCGGCTGCCGGCGGCCCCGAGCGCTGTCATGACCATATAAGGCAAAAAGCCGCGGTCGCCGCAGTGCCGCTGCGGCGGGCGCGGGAACGCGCGCGCGCGGCGCGGGAAAGGGCGGGGGAGTGACACGTGCGCGGCCCGGAACCGGCAGCGCCCGCAAAGCACAGCGGGCCCCGGAGGGGTGAAGTGCTGGGGAACCAGCCGCAAAGCGGGACACGGAGCCGGTGCTGCGCGGGGTTCCTGCGGTCTTTGCCGTGCTGACAGCTCCCGGAGGTCAGACTGTGAGAGTGATGCCCCAAGAGGTGGAAGGGGGGCTGCTTTCCCTGTGGCTGGAGCTGCATCAGGTGTTAAACGTTAAAAGCATACCAAAGGCAAGGTGTAGAAGTGACTGCTTTCATCTCCGGAACAAAACAGCAAGCACTATGCTGTGGGAACTCAAACACCTGTGCTAAATGGACTCAATCAGAAGTCAGAAGGGGGGGGGGAGGGAGGAGTGTTCAGGGAGCTGAAGGAACAAGTGTCATTGCTCACAGAGGCAGAAATAAAAGAGGAACACAGGAAGTGATAAAGCACAGCCCACAGCGTGCTGTGCTGCAAAAGAAATCATCAGGCTGAGGGATTTGAGAGCAGCGGTCCTCAGCAACCAGCCATGCCTCAAACCTTGTCGCATCAGAACCTTGGGGAAGTGGAAAACAGTGGGAATGTGGCTGAGGACACAAGTGAAGCCAAAGGACGGCAGGAGGAATCAGGGACTAAATGAAAAAAATATATAAAAATAAACAAGCCACCAAATAATAACACATAGCAAGGGGAAAATAGGAGCCTGTCCTGGCAGGGCTGAGCTGCAAGGCATGCAATGTCACAGCAACCGAGCAGGGGCTTCCAACCCAAATCTGTGCTATGGGACCAGGCTTGGGCAGGAGCAGGACATACAGCTTGAGGGCAGCCACATCCCAGAATGCTTGCAAAGAGCTGCTGAGGAGATGAGCAAAATGCAGAGCTATAGAAGAGCCCGGGGGCTGGCTTGCCTCGTTATAGCTAGAAAGGCAGAAGTGAGAACTTGCCACGTCTGCTCCTGTGATGCACTCTCCATCAGAATGCTATATTCACTTCTGGTCACTTCTGCTATTTATAACAGGACAGATCTGCACAGAGAGCTAGGAAAAAGGGCTGATAACAGAGACAGAGCATTTGGAGAGTACGGCTAAGAGAGGCGTGAGGGTCACAAAGACAAAATGTTACTGAAGAGGAATACTAGCTTTTCTTTTTTCCTGATTCACACAAATACAAAATGCCATCTCAAACAAAAAATAGGAAGGATTTGAAAGAATGAGGAAACACCAGGAGATGCTGGAACACACCACAGAGCACGCTTCCTGATCTGGTGCTCCTCTGTTGGAAAGAACCCTTTTTTCTAAAGGGTTATGAACCCAAATCTTCTGTAAAGCAACACCATCAAAATACTTCAGCTTTAAGTCTGTGTTAAAATCAGTTTGCATCAGTATTGGACTACTGATTCTATCTAACATGGCAAGAATTTACACTAAATGCATAAACGAAGCCAGGCGTGCAATTTTAGAAGCATCAAACACGCAGAATTGAGGAGAGCAAGAAACATTGTCAATATGATCCCCTATCATTCTCAAGGACATTCATTTCCCTTCTATCTCATCAAGCTATCCATCTTACATATTGTAAATTTTCAAAGGAGAGAAAATTCCTGTGGAAACAAATCACTAAGATGAAGTAATGCATTTAGGTTTGATGTTTCTCGCTTTTGTTTTTAACTATGAACACATGAAGGGATTGGGGTGGCCAAGAGCCTGTCAAAGGTTTTCAGGTTAGCATTCTTGTAATCTGACTGTGGTAAAAGCTAGCACATCAGAAAGGGAGAGGAGAGCAGCACTCTCTTGCAAGGATGAAAGATGTACTGTGGTTTTTCCACGTGATACCTGAGGGCAGAATGAATTTATAAGAATTTATTTCAGTCTCAGACACTGCTCCTGCTCATTTGTACAGTCTTATACCATAAAATTATGAGACTGGCAGGGAGATTTTCATGCCAATCTTTACAGCTTCCTCCAGCTATTTGATGCAGCCATTTTTGTATCCGGTGGGCAGCAGCCTATCATTTCTGTGTGCTTTACAAAGCATTGGCCTGAGGAGCTACAGAAATATTCAAAGGAAAGAGAAGTAAATTGTACATATAGCCTCATTGTGAGATTTTTTCTGAATACTGAGCAGCATTTGGCACAGAAAAAGTAAGGCACAGACTAAGACTAAGCTTAGTCTGCTTCTCTCTGCGTCAGGTACTAAGGGCTAGCAAGACCTGGCTGCAGTGTCAGAGCCCAGACAGAGCCACACGGGCTGGGAGAGCTGCAGGAGAGTTGTGACAGCCCTGGAGCTGTTGTCTCACTGAACTAGTTCTCGTCTCACACCACACAACAGAAGTGTAACGACAGGACAAGCAGCAGCCAGACCAGCTGTGCCATGGTCGCAAGGGCTGTGCACATGCACTGCAGGGAGCAGCACCCAGCTGTGCCACCCACTCCATCCTGGTTTGCAAGAAGCATTCCTGAATTTAGTGATTCTCACGAAGCTCAAGGAGCCAAATCCTAATGGCCAAAAAACCTGAGTGCAGCTAGCACAAATAGAGAGGCTTTAAGAAGAGCACGAGTTCTACTCAGAAACCTCCGACATAAAGATTTGCTTTAGATCAGTCAAGCAAACTACTTATTTACTGTGTTTAATGCACGGGAAGCGTTACCCTGACTCCAGCAGCATTACATGTGTTCCTACACGGCACAGCCGAGCAACGTTTGTCACAACACAGCAGAGACTTCACAGGTGTAGCGCCGCTCACAAACAAGCACTGAAGTGACAAGGGAAAGCAAGCTGAGCACGTTAACAGCAAGAAACTCAGCAGCACTCACCTTGTGCAAAGGCAGCACCAGGAAGGCCCCGCCGCCGCTCGCATCCACGATGATTGCAACAAACCTGGGGTTCACAGCACAGAAGGAGCTGTCCCAAGTGACACGAGAGACACGGATGTCATCGTAGCACTGGTCGTTCTTCACTGCCTGGCCAAACACATGCCGGAATTTGCTCTGTCGTACCACTCGCCTCATTGTGTCTGTAGAGAAAAGGGATGGCAGAGGGTGGTCAGCCACATGCAGGGATGTGCTGCTTGTCAGAAGGCAAGTCAAGGGCTTGTCACCTCGCTGTCACCCGGCCCCACCACTACACAATGTAGTTTCACACACTGCTGCATTCACAGGGAGCTTCCTGCAGCCCTGCTAAGTTCTCAAGTTGTTTTACATTTAAAAAACAACACAGGTTGCCTCATCCCTGACACAACCAAACCGCACGTTCAAGGCTGTTTCACAGGAGCTCACTGGTTAAGTGTCAGCACTGCTATTGTAGACGCTCTTTCTGCAGCAAAGGAAGTCCCTAATCCTAAAAGCAGTTTTTAGACAAGTCTCCGCATATTTTCAGGGATAAATCTGGGCTTGGATTGAACTTGTTTACTTTCAAGTCAGACAGGGTCCAGAAGATGTAAATAAAAATGCAAGCTCTCAAAATCCGGTGTTCCTGTGAAGTGGTTCCACATGTCAGCCAGCTTCCACTTCTTTCTTCTCACTCCAAAATCTCACCAAAAAAAAATAAAAAATTAAAGTTTCCTAGGCAGAAAGGAGTAATGGAAACAACCTAATGACTCAAATTAACTTAGCGTGTCTGTAGCACTTCTCTTGAGACAAGGATTTTCAAGAAGGCTTGAGTTAAAATAGAGGGAAACTGACCAGCATGGAAAATTCCAGAGCTGGATGAAGACTCAGGTAGGGGACCTTGCATGAATCCCAACCCTGGAAGCGAGCATCCGCCTCCTGTCTTGCTTCCCAGAAACTTCCCATGTGGAAACAGGGCTGGGAAAGCCACAGTGCTTTGCAAAGCTGCTCCCTGCAGACCCAGGCTGATGCCCAAGTGAGAGACTGAGCAGGGTGCAAGTGTGCATCTCTGCTTTTTGGTGATGAAAGGCTGTGCATCCATCTGATTGCAGCGCCTTTGCGTGAAAGCACTGAAAGAGACTGCAGAACGAGCGCCGTTTGTAGTCGTGAGGTTACAAAGAGCTGCAAAACTGGAGCAAAGCACTCATCAGAGCTGGGAAATCAGCAGTCACACGGTATTTGAAGAAAAGAAAAACGTTACAATTAATGTCACAGACAGCTACAGAGCAAAACGCTCCGCTCTAGGTGTTTGTAAGAAAAAAAGCACTCTGCCTGCTTCTCATGAGATCCCCCTGAGCACCATGCAGCCCCACTGCCCTCTGCCATCACAAGGTTCTGCCCAGGTGAGGACACAACAAGGATGGTTTCTGACGGTCTGTTCAATCTCTCAAATGAATTCCGTCATTTTGAAGATACAGAAGTGCCACAAACACCATTTTGTAATCACAGGGTTGTAGAATAGTTTGAGTTGGAATGGGCACACAGCTCTAGTGGTGCTCACAGCCCCGTCCCTTGACCGTGGCTGCGTGCAGGGATGGGGCACCACCAGCTCTCTGGGCATCCTGTGCCAGTGCAGCTTATAGGAAAAAAAGAAGGAAAAAAAAAAAGCAATTGTAATTTTTAAATGCAAAACGTTGTGAACTATTACAATTCCCAGATGAAAAAAGCTAGATGCAACTTATTAATGATTACTGTCACCTTCCAGATGAACTTAGGCTTCTTCTGTCAGTTAGTGTGGTTGCACAACGCATGTTCTGCCACACATTGCACTTAAAACCACGGGGCTGCTCTGGGCTGGGCACACCCAGCGACAGCACAGCGCAATGGAAGCCACCAAGCAGCAGCAATGTGAGCACGAAGCGCGGCCTGCCGGCGCCATTTTGTGCTCTCAGCAGGCCTCAGCAAAGCCTGACCCAGGAGCACTTCAGCTCAAAGTGCCTGAAAGAAACAAAACGCGTCGTCCTATTGCTGCTTGAGGACTGGCGGAGATGTAGCATGCAAGAAACACAGCTCCACACCCAGCTGCTAATCTATTGCATAGATGCAGAGAGGCTGGGCCTACTCCCAGCGAGCCATTAGTGCTGCATGGCAATGGGACACAGAGCTTTGGGTCCACTGCTGCGAGTCCTGCCCTTGGCACTGGTTCTGAGGGCTTCCAGTGCTGCTCCCATCCCCACGCTGCCTTGCTGGTCACATTGGCTCCCTGGTGGGAATGCAGCCGGTTCTCATCCCACCGATGTTTCAGCAGAATGTAAAGAGAGGGCTTCGAGCTGTCTGGTGGAGTTAACGTGCAGCAAACTGCCCACCATCAACATATGGTACATGCAGGGGTTTTCTGATTCGTCTGCTTTAATGCTGAGAACATGGATAGGGCGGTTAATAAGAGGGATTGTTTGTATAGCTTGGATAATTATATCTCTCCTTCAGTTCATCAACACCTGAACACCACAAGGAAGTCCCTCTCAAGCATTCTATTTTCTCCAGTAATAAAATCCTACTATGCTATTTCCCTCATTTTTACCATTTCCCAGGATTTTTAGCATTTGAAATTTCTTGTTTTCCACAACTGACATTTAAAATCACAGAGAGCCAGAAGTATCCCAAAATACCCCTATTTGTTCCAAACCGATTTGTTTGAGCACACCTTCGCTGCCCTCTTCCCCCACCTACAGCTCATCATTCTTAGCAGGAGCTCTCCATGATGAACACATGGTGAACAGCCTCTGAGTCCTCATTTCCATAGCAAAGGGAGTGATTCTTGGCTTTGGATCACAGCCATTTTGATCTGGCTGCTCTCCAAAGAGAAGTGGGGAAAAAATAAATGTGCAGGCTCCAGCTATAAAGAGCAGCAAGTATGGATCTTCCCGCACAGCACAGAAAGTGGGCAGGTGGAAAACAACACGGGTTAGCTCGATCCTGAGCACAAGAAGAGTCATCCTATCCCTATGCCAGCCTCCTGTGAAAATGCAAAGAGCGTTTAGTATCCTAATTTGTCTCTCAGTGAAGTGTGAAGGATCGCTCTTCCACCACCCACAACACGAGCAGAATTTGGAAGCTCCATCCCTGGGGACACCCAAGGTCAGGGGATGGGGCTCTGAGCACCTGATGGAGCTGTGGGTGTCCCTGTGCACTGCAGTGGAGTTAGATCAGATGACCTTTAAGGATGCCTTCCAATTAAAGAGATGCTATGAATCTAATCTGGTAACTGGGCTGGGACAGGTCCTCCTGGTCATCAGCAGAGGTAGGCTGAAGGTAGGGCAGCACTCAGCCTGCCCACTCGCAGGATCATACAGTGAAACGCCAAAATTTATGCCGATCTGATGTCTGGAAAGAGTGATGCAGCCTTCAGTATCTGCAAAACCCTGCAAGGCTTCTGGGAGCCAGAGCACATCCACAGCCAAACAGGGCTGGGCTTGGGCAGCAGACTCAGCGTTAAGCTTTCAAAAGAGAAGGATAATTAGATCGTGGTCGCTGCCGCTAAATCTGAGCTGAGGAACTGGAACGATCTTCGTACACTTGCTAGACAGGAAATGCTTTTTTTTTTTTTTGTAAAGTACAACTTTGGAGGATTTAAAGCCTCACTGCTGCGAGTTGAAAGGAGTTTGAATTTTGCCAGAGTTACAGCCCTCAGCAAAATGAGAACAGAAGCGCTCGACGCCCTGCAAAGACCGCGACAATAGAAGTGCTGACAGCTCTGTGCCTGAACTGATCTCCTGGACCTGCTTGGGGGCACCGACATCTTGCGTATCCTGTGCAGGACACAGCCGTCCACCTTCAGTCTTTTCCTTCCCAAATGTCAAGTGACATTCAGCTGAATTTTACCTCGCATTCAGCTCCGTCTCCCACTGCCATATGGTTCAGGCTCCGGTCTTTGTTCCAGTCTTTAAAAGGATCTCAGAAATGCAGAATGCCATCAGCCATACTTGCACAGTGATACTTTTCATCCCGTTTCTTTCTGATCTCCCATCACGATGTGTCACAAGAGTTACCATGAGTTTGCCCATTTTCCTGTTTATAAAGGATTTATCTGTCTAGAGAAACCAACAGATGTATTTCTGTGGCTTCGGAGGGTTTTCAGGCTGCTTATGCAAGAGGAAACGCATCCTGCTAGGGAACACTTACAGGAAAACCCCCCACTAATGGCAAAATCCTGCTCAGCCCATGTGATTGTGATCCCTTTTGGAAAGAGCGACATTTGAAAGAAAGGGCTGGATTCAGGCACAGCCAGCCGGAGGCTATGGCTAAGGGAGGGGGGTACAAAACAACCAGCCTGGGAGAACGGAGCTTCCTTATAAAACGCTGCTTCTTTTGGGGCTGGAAAGGAACAGGGCTTTCCCTTAAATGGGAAACTTGAAGATAAGCAAGAGTTGCATCTGTTTATGGTAAGCCCCAAACTCCATTCAGCACCAGCTTTATTGAAGGGATTCCATGCGCTTCAACGGCGGCTTTGAAATAAATTCAGTCTCAGATAATGATCAACAAATTCAAAGCAGATAAGGAGAATGACCAAGGCACTGTAGGCAGTTACCAGAGCAAATCACTACTGATGCCCACCATGAGAGGACACCTGCCTTGCTGCTGACATGGAGAGTCCCTTGTGTCCCTGCCGTGATGCTATCTCTCTATGTACGATTCTCCCCCAGCAAGGGGATGGTGGGTGTGTGACTGCTCCATCCCAACACACGTGAGGAAGGGAGCAGCTGAGCACTGCCCAGGTATTTCCTAATCTCACAATGGCATTTCTTCATCTTGGAGTGCTGGGTTGTGCAACCTCAGCACATCCTCTGTGAGCCACGCATGTGTGCTGCGTGCAGTGCAAACATACATCTGCCTGCAGACATATGCTTCACAGCCTTACCATACTGCACAGGACAGCACCTTAAGAACATCTCAGAGGAAACATCCAGCAAAAGGAAAAGCTTGCCAGATCATTTTAAGGGCACGGATCACTAAGCCCGAAGCAGCGTGCCAACCTGCAGGAGTTACCCAGGCAAGCAGTGCTGGGCAGGCTACGATGGGTTGCACAGGCTGCAATGTACAACGGCAGTCAGAGTGCAGAACCAGCACAGCACCAGCAAGGCTGCAGGAGCTCATCTCCCTTCCTGAGCAAAATCAATGGGCACAGTCT